ACGGGCTTCCTAACCCACACACTGAGCTTCGGAGCATTATCATAGAACAGGTTATTAATAATCCCTGGATTCTGAGTAATGCTGACCACACCCTTCGACTCAACCAGGAACCAGTTGCCTGTTTTGCTGATGGCGTAGTTCGTATTCGCGTCTGATTTGGGATCGGGGAAGGAAGTTAGGGCCGAAGGCGGAACACCGACAGTCCGAGAGAGGAAATCGACGACCGTGCGGGAGGTTAAGATGGCGCAGACGGTGTTGGGCGATGTAGATGGAGATTAAGCTGTAGAGGTGAGAATTGGAGAGAGAAGAGAGGTTCGTAGCCCTGGGTGGTGCCATTAGTTGGGGTGAGCCATGCTACAGCGGTGTTATTAGAGAGGTAGGGATGGTGGGAAGCTTGGCGAGGTCAAAAAGGGTAGGGGGTAGGGGGTGGGTGTGTATGAGTTTGCCTGGTGGAGTTGTCGAATTGTCCGGCACGATGTAAAATGCGAGCTAGTCCTAGATAGTGGAGGAGGCACTGGTGATGATTACGACGCGACCGGTTTGGGGAGGCAGATTTTCTGCAGTGTTGGTGGGCTTGGCAGGGAATAGTTGGGGCCAGATGCGTTCGAATATCTGCACGGTGGCGGTGGAGCGGGGGACTTTGAAGGTTAGCATAATCTCGATTGCAAAATAACAATGGAGGGTAAGGCAACGCTCATAAAGCATGAAGCAAGAACTAGCTAACTAGCAGGGTTACTAGTTGCTGGGCTGCGTTGCGGTGGAGATGGCATCGCATATACATAGTCTCCATGGTCTAGTGGATGTTGCTAACCGTTAAGCTACATGAAAGGCGTGAGGGCCAAGACTGCGTGCGCATGAATTTAAAGTGAGCCGAAAGGCAACTCGTGCTTCGCAAGGTTGCATACAGCTGGGTGCATGGACTGAATACCAGCATGGAATTCGGTGAGGCTATCAAGCAGTAGTAGATACATCCAGTTTCATCATAACATTGCATAAGTAGAATAGAGAACTTCAAAATTACTCCGTGCCCTTCTGAGCTGCTTGGTAACTCTGCATCACGCACCAATATCCAGGAATATGTTCGGTCCAGATAGCTCCGAAGCCCTCGATATCGCGCCGCCAATCGCGGTGAAGCTCGCCCGCAACAGCCGCCCAGTTCAGCAGTTGACAACCGGCTGCTACCATGCGTTTGTGCGCTGCCTCGCGCGTATGCTCTGCAAATGTGCCTGAGGCATCGGTCACTACGAACACATCGTAGCCTTGCTCAATGAGGCTGAGGGCGGGGAAGGCCACGCAGATTTCAGTCAGGACGCCACTGTGCAAGTTAGCGGTTGCGTGAGAGATTTGATGATATACATCTGTGGGTAGATCTGTGGGTGGTGAAGTAAATGCTGGGCTCACCTGATCACAATCTGCTTTCGGCCGGTCTTCTTGATCTCATTCACAAAGTCCTCATTGTCCATTGCATTAATCTGTCCAGGACGGCGGATCAGGGGCGCATCCGGGAGGTAGTCGGTGATCTCCTTGACAATGGGTCCATTGGGACCAGTGTCGAACGAGGTCGTCAACACACTGGGAGATTTGTAGTATTGAGCGACTTTGGCAAGGGCCATTACATTCCTCTGGAATTCATGTTGTTGAAAGTCGCGGACGAGGTTGATCAGACCTGACTGGAAAATGTTTAGAACGGATACAAGCAAAGTTTGAGAGGGCAAAATACCTGGTGATCCACGAAGAGGAAGATGCATTTGTCGATGTCAAGTCGGGTATACTTGGCCGGCATAGTTGCTGTTAATTGCACTTCTCAATTATATCACTGAAAGTATTTATGATTGAGGTTGAAATGTTTGCGCTGCAGTTTGCGACGGAAAATGTCGGCCTATAAATGTTGAATCAGGAAAGCTGGTGGGAAAGCTAATCGCCTCTTCGACGTCACCACCCATCATCGATATTTTGTGTAACAGACAGACCTTGTCTAGGCGATGCCTGGACCAAATGCCCATATCGGCGCGTCCGATTAGCTCATCATTCTTCAGCATTAGAAGTCCGGGGAGAAGGACAACCCAAGATGGAGCTTGAGGTCAACACTCATGACAATCAGGCTAATCAGATGAAGCCGTCGGTTCCTGCCGACCAGGTGACCCTGTCAAGATGCAGCTTTAACTTTGTTAAAGCATTGGTTGGAAATCGGAGACTGATCGAGATCGCTCATCCCGAGGTGGGGGAGGCGCAGCGATGAGCAGCTGCAGATCGACCAGGAACGTGGGGAGGAACTGATCGCCACTGAATACAAAAGTCTGCTCTGAAACTGAAGCACTTAGTACAAGATTATTCAGGGTTACGGAATCGGGGAAGACCTCGGCGGTTGTGCGTACCATGGAAACGAGTGTGCCGCAGACTCGGTGATGTAATTGACCCAAGCAACGCCCTTACAATATATTCACGGCAGTAAGAACTTCGTGGGCTTCGTCCACGAACTCAGCAAGTATGATTAAATTCTCAATTGACAATGGCAGGCCTACTATTTCGTCCCCAGAATGACATTGACCCCAGCGTCAACGTCCAACAGCTATCGTGCAAGCCCCATGTGCCGCCGTTCGTCGGCCGCATAGGCGGCAATCAGGGCATTGTCCTCGATCGGGCCGATCCAGATAATGCCGAATTTCTGCGTAAAGTGCCAGATGCTGCTCCATTAATGAGTGCACGAGATTCCTTTAATGTGCGCGGGTTCACCGATCTTAACCTCTGGCGATTTGCGGTGGTGGAATGCGTTGGTATCACCCTCCCGGACATATCTGCTATCTATTAGGAAATATAATAACCCTCCGTGATGGACTCAGGAACCATGATGTTAGCCTTTATTACTGCCTGGTCGGCAGCTACTCCCGCTAATGTTGCCCCCCCTACTCCCACCACACCAGCTGGGATCTTTGCTACAACAGCCTTTCTCGGCCCTCTTGTCGGTGCCTTTACTAATTGGGCACTACTGACCCTCTTCATTTTCTCTTTCTTGGCAGTCAGTGGAAGCCATCTCAATCCGACCATAACGCTAGCCACATTCTTTGCGCGGCTTATTTCCTTGCCACGTATGGTTCTTTACCTGGCCGGCCAAATCCTCGGCGGAGCTCTGGCCGGATGGATATTACAGTCAGCGTTCGGATCCGGACAGTATAGTGTCGGTGGGTGTGTGGTTGATACCGCCCTAGTGCCGGTCCGAGAAGCCTTTGTGCTCGAGTTCATCTGCTGCCTCATACTGATCTTCCTGTCATTCGGTGTTGGATTAGATCCCAGACAGGTTAGGGTGTACGGAGCTGCGTTGTCCCCATGGTTAGTGGGAATGGTGTTGGGAGTCGTAAGCTTGGGATCCTCGTATACGCGGGAAGGCTATGGGGGTGCATGTATGGGTTTCTCATATTGGCTTTGCCGTGCAGCAAGCTTTGAAGTATAATGAAGCTAATTTGGTCGTATAGCACTCAATCCCGCGAGATGCTTTGGTGTATACGTGGGATCATCCTTTCCCGGTTACCATTGGATTCACTGGGTAAGTTCGTAATTCGAGAGGGGCTATGTGATGATTTTAAGTTATCAATGCAGGTTGGGCCTCTTGCTGCCGCCATCGGACACGGCCTAGTCTACTACCTGGTGCCACCATGGAAAGCATGACCAAGCATTACTTTGGTGCTGACGCAACAGGAGCTCTTATCTTGAGGCTGAAGTAAGCTGGTGGGTCACCTGGGCATCGGAGCTCAAATCATTGACTTCAGATACTAGGAAATACATCCAATAGTGCTGGAACCTGGCAAGGACACCAGTGCTCTGTGACGCCACTTAAGGTTACTAGCTCAGATGAGTGGCTCAATGGCCGGTAGTCAGCCAAGCTGACGACGTTTATCGCTACCCCCAGAGTCGGACATGAGGTACTGTGACCCAGGATTCACGTCATCCACAACAGTCTGTTAGCGAGTGTTGAGGCGAGCCATGCCTTGATATGATACAATGAGTCGTATTCAGCTGGGGGTTTCAGCTGCGCCACCGTTTGACCTGTCCACATGAGGCTTTATCTTGAATGAGCAAGGCAACAGCTCGGATCGTTTGACGTTTCCAGCGAATGTGTGCATTTAGTCGCCGAGAGAAGCTCGACGACGTGGCACACACCCGAATGGAAGGATATGTTTTCCTTCCGGTTTGGAATCAATGATGGAACCGACGAAGGCGGCTTCACCTACACTAGTGCTTTGGTATATAGTGTTCACAACTGCGACGATTTGGGGGCTTGTGCATTTGCGGATTGCATGAACTATCTTTTTAGCACTTCTCGAACATCGATCCAACTGCTAGCTATGTAAAAGGAACGGTGTAGAAGAATATCTGACAATTTCCATGTGACATAAACAGGCTTATGCGGGAAGGGGATGCTGGCTTGAATAGATCTCCCAGAAAGAAATGGAGACCGGTGGATAAGTTAGCATGAATGAGGGCAAGCTTTACTTGCGGGTGATCACCACGTAATGATTGTTCGAGATCGCCAGACTACGTAATGGTCAAAATTCTCCGACCGTCTAGTATGTCGATCTGTGGTCCATCAAGGCCCGAGCGTTGGGATCTTGTCCAGTCAGAGAAAATTCTGCTCTCTCCAAGTGACTGACTGCCCACCAGCATAAACTTCAACGATCTGCCCTGCAGAACCCTGAAGGCTTGTTCATCCCACATATAGCTCTCCTGTATGCGTAGGGCTGCTCGCATACCTTATTCATTTACGATGTGAGCTGGCAGTAGAACTTCTGCACTTGATACTATTAGAGTTGAAAAAAGGCGGTAGCCATATCTGCAGCCGGCAGCCGGCAGCCGGCTGTTCAACTGATTGGAGATATATAGAAGAGGTATCGCACCCAATCTTTGTGCTCACATAGGTTGTATATGATATCGCATCTCTTTAAACACAATCCTTATCTCGCAAGACCCAGAATTATTTTACCATAGGAGTCGTTGACATGCAGAAAATGGCTCCCCCACGACTTCTCTGCTTCGGTGACCAAACCACTGATTCATGCAGCCGTATCAAAGACTTATACGCGAAGGCGACTCAATACAATCGTCTACACGACTTCCTGACTGTCGTCGACCGTCTCGTCCGTTCACAGCGATTGGGCATATCGACTACTGACAACCCCCTTTTTGATGATTACGATTCGATGGATACCGTGGCTGAGGCCTATGCTCAGCGAACGGATTATGGTGTCGTTATGCCCACCGTGCTACTCTGCGTAGCTCAGCTTGGAGGTTTGATCCTGTGAGTGCAGCAAGGTGTAACTGTTACCGCCGTGAAGGAGTAAGTCTGCCCATGACTGACATGAAATAGACACCTGGAGGAGGACCCAACTCTTCTGTGGGGACAAACTTCCAAGTTGCACATCGTTGGTCTCTGCACTGGGTTGTTCCCGGCAGCTCTGGCGGCCACTGTCCCATCACCGGCAGAGTTGCTTCCTTTGTCGTTACTCATGGTTATGTTATCGCTGCGCCTGGCAATCCAGGTGGACCGCCGATCTCGCTACATTGAGGCTTCGACCCAGAGCTGGGCAGTATCGGTGAAGCGGGCCTCGGCCGGCGAGCTGGAAAGAGTGATTGCATCCTTTAATGAGGAACAAGTACGCCAACTTCATCAATAAAATTTCTGAAGATGCACTAACCAACTGAGGAAGGAGCTTCCAGAACATAAGCGGGCGTATATAAGTGCCGAACTTGATACATCTGTGACGATCAGCGGTCCTCCGTCCACGCTATCCCTCCTTATGCGCCACCCCTCAATCAGCAACCTGCCAAAGTCGGAACTACCAATCGCCGCCGCATACCATGCTCCTCATCTCAAAAGACCTAGCTTGGAGGATATTTTAGGGCCTTTGAAGGTTCCAGACCTTCGAGTTCGGCGAAATGTTACTGTGGTGTCCCCAAACTCTGGCATGCCGTATGCCACTGCCTCCTTGCGCGGACTGCTACATTTCATGATGGCTGATCTCCTCCAAAATAAGGTCTCCTGGAACAGGATGATGAGAGGACTCCCTCCGGGCCTGAGGACACCCAATGCTACGATGGCTGTTACACCAAGCGACCGGCTCGGATCATTGGTGGACGAAGCCTTCCTCGGTGAGTACTTCGATGCTGATTATAACACTGTTGCTATTGTTGGTATGTCATGCCGGCTTCCAGGTGTCGGCTCGCCAGATGATCTGTGGAAGATACTAGAGAATGGTCAGAGTATATATAAAGGGGTGAGTCAATCTACCTACATGATGGTGTGATTTTCGGCATTGACATTATTTCAGACACCTGCAAAGTATCTTGATGCCCACACCAGTGTAGACCGATTCGGGAGTGTGACGAACAGCAGTCAATCGGTACAAAGCCGCTTCATTGACCAGCCCGGGCTATTTGACGCTGGCCTGTTCAACGTCGCTCCCGATGATGTTAAAGACATGCACCCAATCAAGCGGCTTCTACTCCTCGCCATGTACGAGGCACTTGAAAGTGCTGGGTATACCCCCCATAGTCGTGACTCCCAGCGCGTGGGTACTTTCATTGGGCAGGCCACAGACCAGCCACGCTACCTTCGCGATACTGTTGGCGCTGGGCGATTGAATCAATACTTCAAGTGGGATGGCCCTTCATATACCATTGAAACAGCATCTTCTCCAAGCACAGCCCCTATGGAGATGGCGTATCATGCTCTACGTCGTAGTGAGTGTGATATTGCGGTGGTCGTAGGCACTAATCACTTGTCTGATCCGACGTGCAACTCCACCGAGGAAGGGCACTTTCTTTCGGAAGGAGTGGGTGTGGTTATACTTAAGCGGCTTCCAGACGCGCTCAAGGCTAATGATCGCGTTCGGGGTGTCATCACCGCTGTGGTCTCTAATAATACAGGTAATCCCTGCAACAAGCCTCCTCAGAAAAGGCTCTTAAAAGACGTCCTGCGACGCGCCCGTCTCGGTCCAGGGGACTTGGACTATATAGAAGGGGACGGGTGTGATGAGGAGCAGAATATGGCGCAAGTCGAGTCGATCGTGGATCTCATGTCACTCGCGCCTGAAGGGAATGAGCCCCTGCGCGTCGGCTCTGTCAAGCCGACTGTTGGCCATTTGGGAGCAGTAAGTCCTAACACAGAGCTCTATGACTTTACCAGTGTTCGCTGACTCGTCGCTGAAACAGGCCTCTGGCATTCTTTCTGTGCTCAAATCTGTCCTCATGCTTGAGCGGGAGTTAATCCCTCCTGATGTTGGTATTAGCTCAGCCTCGAAGCGACAATTAGCCAAAGGCAAAGTTGAAGTTCCTCAGTCGGCAATGGCATTCCTGCAGTCTCGTCGGGGGCGTGATACGCGCCGCATTCTGGTCAACCACTCCAATGCTATGGTAGGTCAACTACAAGGACTGACTTGACTGGTCAACTAACGAATCATCACTTCAGGGCGACAAAATGGCATTACTTATTGAAAATCATCCATGCGCTATCCCTCAAAAGCGCTCTGACCAACGCGCTAACTATATGGTGGCGGTATCCGGACAGACGGTGAAGTCCCTGAGAGGCAACCAAGAGCGACTTCTACAGTATTTGCAGGCACAGCCTGAGGTGCAACTGGCCAACATAGCATATACGACAACTGCCCGACGACTGCATCATGTATACCGTCGCGCATATTCCGTGGGTCATGTCCGGCAGCTCAAGGAGATCCTGCAGAAGGAGCTTGCAGATCCCCTGCCTGTGGATCTCGTTGGCATTCAACCAAGCCGGGTCTTTGTATTCACTGGCCAAGAGGGACAATATCCGGGGATGGGGCGACAGCTCTTCAGGACGTGTCCTACCTTCAAACAACGACTGCTTGAATGTAACAACATATGCACACAGCTTGGATACGGACCGTTTGTGGACATCATTGAACGGGAAGATCTTGACCTAGGCGACGTGACACCCGTCCAGAGCCAGCTTGCTGTGATCTCGCTGGAACTGGCACTGGCTCATGCATGGCGGGCCTGGGGCACTACGCCTGATATGGTTTTGGGACATAGCTTGGGTGAATACGCAGCACTGTGTGTAGCAGGTGTCCTCTCTCTCTATGACACGTTGTATCTGGTTGGAGCGAGAGCACAGCTTATCCAGCGCGACTGCACCAGCGACGCACACGGCATGCTCACCATTAGATCGGATCCCGAAACGATTCGAGACACACTGCTACAGTATGAAGAGTTTGCGGGTTGCACAATATCCTGTCTCAATGGTCCCTCTTCAACTGTCGTAAGCGGTGAGCATGATCAGCTCTGCCTGCTAAAGGACCACCTAGCGGGGATATCCACCCGGCTCCTTCCTGTGCCATTTGGATTCCACTCGCCGCAGATGGATTCCACACTGGATGAGTACCGTCAGCTGTGCTCGTCTATCCAGTTCAATGCCCCACGAATCCCAGTTATTTCCACATTAACAGGTTGCGCTGTTGAGCGTGCTGGAATCTTCGAGCCAGATTACCTCGCAAGGCAAACCCGAGAACCGGTCAAGTTCCAGGATGCACTTCGAACCTGCGAAATGAAGCTTACTGAGAAAGGCAAGGGCCTTTGGCTTGAAATTGGCCCTGCCCCGGTCTGTACTGAAATAGCTCAATCTCAGCAATCAGTCCCAGGGCAGCACATGCTATTCTCCCTCAGTCCTAAGCGGGATGACTGGGAAGTCATCTCACAGGCACTGACTCAACTATATACAATTGGATCAGACATAAACTGGGGAGCTTTCCATTCAGACTATGTCGACAATCTGCAGCTGCTTGATCTACCCAAATATGCCTTTGATTTGAAGGACTTTGGCATCCCATATCAGAAGGATAGTGTACGCATGACAGGAGGCAGACCTAATGGACCCAGTCGGGAAATACCCTTCTCTACCAGCACCTTGCACAAGATAGAGAAAGAAGTGCATGGCGATAAGAGATCTGCGGTAACATTTTTGTCGGATCTCTCGCTACCAGCCTTACTTTCTGCTCTAAAAGGTTACAGCATGTTCAATCAGTGTGTCTTTCCAAGCTCTGTCTACACGGACATGGCTTTGACGGCTGCCTCTTACACATGCAAAGTAATGGAAGCAGTCAGCGAAGTTCCTCCCATGAGTGTGTCCAATATGGAAATTATCCAACCACTCGTCGTGCGACAGAATCAGCCCAACCCTGTTCTTAAGCTCCGCGCCGAACGCAGCAAGGGAAGCAACTGCGTGGAGGTCGTGTGTTCCTCGCAGGCCCCATCTAGCCCAGAGGAGCAACGGCTTGCCCGATGTACTGTCTACTTCGACTCGAGCGATTCTACGAAGCAAAATTTGAGGGACAGAAGCCAGCACACCCAGGCCAAATGTGATACACTGCAACGAGCAGCCCGCACCGGCTCGGCTCATCATCTTCGCAACAGCATGATTTATAGACTGTTCGCTCAACCCATTGTGTACGGTCCCCGCTACCGATGCATCCGGGAAATTACCATGCACGAAGAAATGAGAGAAGCAACGGCCATAATCAAGTTCCCCAGACCCGCGACCGGCGAAACCTTTACCGTCAGCCCGTACTGGATGGACTCGTTCATCCAACTAGGCAGCTTCGCTCTCAACGGACACGACAAGGCTCCAGAGAACACATCATACATCTGCACGGGCTGGTGGAAGCTCTGGGCACCGGCTGACCTGTCACCTGATCGAGAATATACCAGCTACGTGCACATGCAAGAGACGGAGCCAGAAAGCGGATTACACATTGGCGAGGTGTATCTCTTGTCTGATGGACAGATTGTGGGAGGATGCACCGGACTTCGATTCCAGCAGCTTCCGAGACCTGAATTGTGTGAGCTTCTCACTACGGGTACCAGCCGTAGTGTTGCAAAGGCGCCTGCTCCCAGCACTGAACCTGAAACTCCATCGTACACCAAGCCTCAGATTATCAAGGGTAAAGCGGTGCGGTTTCTTCGGCTGTTATGATGTTTTAGAAGGCGTCCGTAGGACATTTATGTTTGGCAGCTTGATGTACACCAGCACTTGCCTGGTCAGAAAGACTAGCATGTATCTCTTCAGACACTCTTGATTCAGTATAGTAGTACATGTATAAAATATAAGACTTCAATTATTCTCACCCACACACAATATGAAGAAACAAGAAATCAAGCAGAAATATCACAGTCACGACTTTGTCGAAGATAGTCAGTCATGCAGCCCCAGCGAAGCTAGCAGCAGCAACAAGCATATAAATTGTTGAGAAGCACGATAGCAGAGCCAAACAGACTGGTAGACTGAGATAGACACCATGCGATTACCGATTCTGCCACCTCTCTTAAAGGCGGTACGAAAACCAACAGAATCCAGCGTCTGTTTTTCGGAGCTGTAGAAAAGTATATCCGCTGATATCCGCTTATTTCCGTACTTTTCTTTGCGAGGTCGACGGAGTTCTGCCGCTTAGAGCGGTCAGTGGAGCGGTCAGGGTGGGCTGTTAATGGAAAGCGAGTGTTGCGAGCCTTTTGATTCGAAGAAATAAACGGAGTAGTAGCATACTCAGCCTCGAATTATGCGCCTATTGACAGGTTTACGGGAATATAAGTGGTTAGACCTCAAGGAAATCATCACTCGCTGGTCGATTGGCAGCCAGAACATGTGGTAACCGACTGGTCTTCTCAGGTCTAAGCCATGCACTCCTAATAGCTCCAGCTAACCAGTCTCGGCAACTGTACCCTCCCAACCCCGCTTACATTAGTTTACAGATCTCTAAGCGCTGGGTATTATCATGATCACCTCAACCCCACCCAGCTGTAGAACAGAAAACCCTGAGATTGTTTGCTACCTCTGTACTTTATATCAGAAATTCCCCGTTTCCGTCGTACCTCTTCATACCATATTTTTTCCCTGTCCCTACTGAAACCAACCATGGACCTTGACGATCCACCCATAGAGCTTACTCCCTCTCCCATGCGCGTCCTTGTGCAAACACTCACTCACCTCGTTCCGTCGGACAATCTTATCGCCAATGGTGAACCATACGGTGACAAGCTACTCTCCATGCTCGACCGAACCTGCAAGCATGTTTGGGATTTTCCATATGAACCAGGCCTGCAACGCTGGTACTCCTACGGCGACGAGTTCGGCTACAACAACCGGGTGTGCTTTTTCCTACTGGACTATGGCACTGCTCCGAACGGCAATGATGAGGAGGTTCCGATCCAGTGTTTTACGTGGGATGGAGAGAAGTTGTATGTTTCTTCTTCCTACTTGAGGAAAACATTATAGACAGTGAACTAACGAAAGAACTTATTCCAGCATACCCAAGCCCGAGCTCCTCCAAAGCGAGGATGTTCAAGCAGAGTTGAAGGAGGTACCGTTTACACCAGGTCCTTCCGACCGTGGGGAGATACCGCCGATGCGGGATATAGTGCGGCGGAGGCTACGGAAAGCACAGTTTTTGTCGAAACGAGAGCTTGACTATATGGCGGAGCATCCGGAGGATCAGGAGTGGTTGCAGAGAAAGGTTCGCCCAAAACCTGGGCGAACCTTTTGGAGCAGATGGAAAGGAGAGGAAAGCAGAATGAGGATGAGAAGGGAGGGGAAGATTATGTGGAGCAACAACAATGAAGAACACGAAGGAGAAGTGCATTCAGGCTATGTATAATTCTGTAGGCGTTGGACGGCGTTGGTTCTTGCTATGTCGCTGATGGTCATGAAAATTGTCCTGCGAGGGGGGAGCAAAAGGTGGATCGCGCTACTAAGTATGCTCGAGCCAATTCGGGGACCAGCTTCGTTCGTGATTGGTCCGAGAAAAGTATGTACCAACAGCTACTGGTGAAGATTAGCCAGGTGGATCAAGCGGTGCGTTACTGTAAGTGCTTGCATACACTATAATTTGACATTCCCGCGTTAGTGGCGAGTTGTGATATCGGAATACTGGATCATGTGGGACATCTAGCCAATGAAGACAAGAAGCTCAGGCGTGGATCAGGCACAGTGTGAATAGAGGAAATAAAACTCATCATCGTATAATTAGCTTGTGATGTCTACTGAATACCTTTGCGTCAGGCACCGAGTATGCCGTAAAGTCGAACCTAGACTGAAATCATAGCGAGGCTTTGGCAGTGGCACTTTCCGCTGCAGCGGTATGCCGATAAGCTGGTGGAAGAAGTCCTTCCAAAGCTGCTTTGATCTGCAGCGCGAGAGTGCGCGAATGCCATCGGTGCTGCTGCGTGTAACCTCCCATAATCCAGATGTTGTCAATATTCAAGTGTCGCTTCCACATGCCACGGATTTCTCCCTCATCATCAAGACCCCAGGTCGCATCCAAGCGCGAGGCAATGTCTCGAGGTCCGAGGATTCGTTTCTCGCTCCCATTAGGTTGAGCTTCACCTGCCGACTCATTGGTGCTCGGTTCCCCACCAAGAATCTCCGTGGCTGTTGTTACAATGTTGGAATCGGAGAAACCAGTACACCAAACAATAGCATCCGCATCAACACAGCTACCGTCGGAGAACCGAAGACCTGATTTTGTATAAGCCACAGGTTCGCCCCCCGCTTTTACGTTAACCCTTCTCTCCTCGATCAGTTTTGTGCCACCGACATCGACATAATGTCCGCCGGCACGCTCGAGCAGATTATGCATCAATGCGCAGTCTGGGTTTCGGCTATCTAGGACGGGGAAGCCAGCTGCTTCAAGTGCAGCGTATCGCCGCGGTTCGTTCGCAGCGAGCATGGCAAACAAACCACGGGCGAGCTGTCCATCCACGACTGCAGGCAGCGATAGTATAAGTTTATCGGCCGCATCAACGCCACCATCATACGCACCGAGACTGTTCTTATCACAGACATACTCGAGCGGCACAATATAAGTAGGGGACCTAACGACCATTGTCGCATCAAGGCCCGCTTTGTGGCAGTCGACAAGGACATCGAATGCTGTATTTGCAGAGCCAATGACGATTACAGACTTGTACGGTTAGCGCCGCTCGGGATTATTTTGAAGATTTCGGAAACAGACTTACATTTGCTCCCTGCTCTCGCAGTAGCTTGGCATTCTTGTAGTCGGCCGAGTGAACACTGATGCCCTTGTACAGTTTAGGATCTGCGATTTGTGGCATGTTAGGCTTTTGAGAGCCAAATCCCGTTGCTATGACGAGGTGCTTTGAAGTGGCCTTGCGCTGGCCCGCAGGTGACGCGAAAGTAACATGCCACTTTTGAGCCACCTCATCATACTCCGTCGACAGGACTTTGACGGAGTGGATAGTATTCAAACTAAATGTCTCCACATAACGACGGACTTGTGAAGCCAGGTCCTGGCGCGTAAGGAGGTGAGGAGTCTGAAGCTCTTTGTCATAGCCTGCTTGGGTCAACGCTTTGCTCTTGTAAACGGATCGAGTAAGGAGAAGCGATCATGGACGACTAACACATATACGGAAGCTCACAGAATGCTGTGGGGATGTGGAACTGCATGCAATCATATCGAAGGGCCCAATTGTCACCAGGGTAAGGGTTGCGTTCGACCATGACGCTCTCCACCCCCAGAGCCTTCAGACGTGCGGAGAGAGTCACGCCGCTAAATATGCTTAGTGAACCATCTAAAAGCTGCCAGGAACCAAGTCTTACGCATTTCCTGCACCAATGATAAAAACGTCTGTTTCGAAATCCATTGATTCATTCAATTTCTTCCCGGGGAGCTGTAGTAGGTTTTCATCCTCTGGTTGCACATCCAAGCTCTCGAGTCTAGTGCTCAAGATCCATATTTTCCAGGCGATCCTTTGCTCCTCACTTACTACAACAGGCAGTAGCAACATCTTACCGCGACAGAGACCCGAAGGCGATTGTGTCTTAAACACGAGCGGACAATCGATGAATTGCTGAACGAGGAAATACATGGTCAGTGCTTGTGGCAAATAAGTGAACCCGATGGGCTCCTACCAGAACTGGTGTGGCCGGAAGAAACACGGCGGCTCCGTCAACCTCAACACCACCGACAACATTCCTTAGATTTGCTGTCTCCAACAAACTTGCAGCGATAGTACTAGGGGCGCTGAATGTGCGCAGGTGCCATGTCAGAGCCAATTGATCCTTCCAGTATGCTTGGTCGGCATAGAAGCAACCTTCCAAGGCTTTGATATCGCCAGTGGCCAATGCATTATTCAAAGAGTCTAACACGCCGCGTGCTTGGATTGTTGCTTCGTCACCCACCATGGATGACGGATCGATCAGATCAAGGGGCAGAGTCGGGAGAGGGTTTTGGTTCATCATGCGCCGCAAGTCCGCACGCTGTGGGTACTCATCCCGACCGGGAGGCTGTGCTGTGCTGTCTGAGCCAATTGTGCTGTTAGTCCTGTGCGCCATGGCGTTGGCCTTTGATATCTATCTCAAGACTCACTAAGGATCATGACTTCGTTGGGATGGTAGGGAAGAATGAACTGTCGCACAAGACTGGGAACCCCGCGGGGACCGAGAGCATTTATGGAATGACATGCGGCAAGGAAAGTGGAGACGGCCCAACGGCGTGGGAGTTTAACTAGGATAGAATAAGGAGACTTTTGACGAAGCCACAGACTGGTGGAGGAATATCGGTAATGTCTTGGTCAAGCTAATCTACACATAATAAAAAGCAGAAGAGATATGACAGGAACAAGGGGCCAATGCAGCCATCACTTCTTCCAGTTAGCGAAGGTTGGGGTTCAACAGGGTCATTTCGGACGGCTTGCGCAGTCAAAAACGAGGCTGTCACAAACGATCCAAGCCACCTGGGACCTGTCAAACTATTACTGCGAGTCTGTCTGTGGTCTCGACGGACCGTTTTCGGTATGTTAGCGTCCTGCCAACGACAGCGGACGCTTTTCTTAGTTGTCTATGCTCTAGTCACAGTTTAGTCCGCTCCACAGCGGCAGGGTTCCGGTGCAAGGCGAGCTTATCGCTTATTCTGGAGTCCCACAGCACCTACTCTATTAGATTAAGTGTCACGCCGTTCCTGCCACTATGCCAGAAAGCGACAAGCTGTGATCCTTTCACCTCCACAGGGCGTCGTGTGCCGCAAACTGAGAGGCCGTGATCAACAGGCCAGGTCATTCACACGACCACCTGGTACGCAACATTGAGTATTTTACCCAAACTCTGAGCAAGGCATCTGGGCTAAAGTACTCGTTTATGTAAATGTAACGTACTCCGAACCCTCCAGCATTCATGCAGTATGCAGCATGCATCCTATATCGCCCTAAATAACGTCGCTACCAAGAGCGCTAAGCGCGACTATCCCGAAAAAGGACATCGTCAAAACCAGTCCACGGCCCATGCGAATGGTGTGTATGCGCCTTGCATTAGTAGCAGGCACCAAGTTGCGGCACCCCCTGAGCGGTCCATAATCGCAAAAATTGGGCCTATCACACTGACGATCAAACAGTTCACGCGTGGATATATGCGCAGTGACATTTGAAGCCTCGACACCCCCACAGCCATTAAGTTTTCTCTCGGTTTTCGAACATGTCTGAAGTTGTGCCATTGTTGACAACCTGTCTTGCGCGAGATGTCACCAGAAGCACTGGCGACTCTCCTCGATGAGCCAGCTCTAGCAGCTCCGTCCGGTGTTACCGCAAATTTTGACAACCCACCGAATAGCAATACGCTGGCTTGGGTAGTAACGACTTTCTGTACCGTGGTACTCACAATATGTTTTCTCTTGCGAATCTTTGCTCGATTGTGGTTGGATAGAAGGATTGGTATCGAGGAAGGTGAGTGATGCTCTAACACCCTTCATCTTCCATTGCTCACTGAAGGAGGGAGACTAACCGAAATTCCCTGTTCCAATAGTGCTGATGATTGGTGCATATGTATTGCTTGACCCTGGTCCCTGTACTCGCATGCACTTAATCCTAACTCCCATCCAGGGCGCCTATTGGGGTACAGCTTATGCAGGCTATGCTTTGATCTACACCCCCGGGTATTACGTTCATACCTGGAATTTACACAATAAGGACCTTATAAGGCCTCTTTATGTACGTTGACGTCCCTCAAGACAATGGCTGTTGCGATTGACTATTAGTTTGGCAGCTGATTCTCATTTACGGATGCTGTTACTCGGCCGTCCTGCCTCTCATCAAGACTGCAATCCTGCTAGATTGGTGCAGAATTTTCGTCCCTATCAACCGCTCAAGGAACGTCTTCTGGTGGGGATGTGTCTCCGTGATAACACTGCAGTGTGTATGGGGTGTGCTGTGCATCCTGTTATTAAACATGCAATGCAGGCCCCATGAAGCCATCTGGAAGTTCTATCTTCCTAGCAAATGCTACTCGCTTCCCGATGTAATGCTCACATCCGCCAGCGTCCAAGTCGCATCCGATATCACCATGTTCTTTCTCCCACAGAGAATCATCTGGCGTCTCCAAATGAATTGGCAAAAGAAAATCGGAGTCTCAATCATTTTTGGCGTCGGTATACTGTGCGTTTTTCCAGATCCATTACTTGACAATGAAATCCAACTAACATCATCCTCTACCAGCGCCTCCGTCGCCGCATGCTTCCGCCTCTCCCACACGGTCGCCTTCGCCAACACAACAGATACCATGTATCTCATCGGACCACTATTATTTTGGGCCTGTGGAGAAATGACCTGCGGTTTCTTTATCCTCAGTGTACCCTGCCTGTCGAAACTCATCATCGAATCGGGACTGCCGCGTAGTGTGAAGCAATCTCTCGGCTTTGGCTCCAAGCCCAGCGAACCATCATACGAGGACTCGGAGCAACCACATCGCTCAGGGCAGTCTGATGCATTGCGCTCACATCCTATGAGGCCATGGCTGAAGGGCACAGATACAATCTGGTCTAAGATAGGAGACGAAGACCATGACCATGATGCCCTGAGAAATTCGGGAAAGTCGGAGTCTCAGACGAGTCTCCATAGAGCAGAAGCCGACGGTCGGAATTGATCCGGGCTTGCTTAGCGCCGTATTAGAGTTAGGAGTTTCAAGGAAAATTTGGTTATATTTAAATTGGATATGGAAATATACTTGCGACATACTTAGGGAACAGTGTTACTCACAATATTTGAGACTATCAACCATAACGGTTAATGGAACCTGTCATATCTCGGAGCTTTGCAGTCGCAGTGCGAAATCATCCAATGCCTCGGGCGGACTGAGCGGGTAAGGCTGAGCCAGACGCCTCATCGTTATTTCGACGGCCACAAGGCACCCAAGCTCGATATATTCCACACCAACAAAAATCTTCATGTAGCTACTACCAAACAACCAATACTGCCATCCTATGTCAATACTCTCAGCCACATCCTAAACCCCTAAAATAACAGGCCTCCCGGTTCGGATCCTTCTCTACCATCCCAGAAAAGCAAGCCCCCTTCCTCAACAACTCCCTCGGGGCGCCAGCCTATAGATTCCGAGCAGTGAGGAGTTATCGTACATGGTAGAAGCTCGATAATACCGAAAGTCATGATAACTGCGAAATATGAAGCCAGATGTGTCTGGTTCATCTCGCTGCCATCGTCTGTACCTCGTCTCGGGCATTGCCCAGACAGAGGTTGATATTGATAGGGTGACTGAACTACCATTGGTCACATTCTTACTTAAAATGCCATTATGCAGTATCATGTCCTACTAAAGCATATACCTACATCTATTCCCCTCCAGAGTGCTGACCTATGTAATAGAGGTCCCCGCAGTAACTGGGTCGTTCATGTACTTTTCTGGCGCCAAGCCTCTCTGTCATTTTGGCCAGGTCTCATAGTCCCTGTCACCATCGTGTGGTTCTATCACCATCTGGGATAGACGATCTATTAGCACTTTACTTCCTGGCCATGTTAATTCAAAAAGTAATGAAAAATAATATGAAAGATCGCTGGCGTAGAAGCAAGCAGATTATTGAGGAGAGGCACCAGGGCCTCAATTCACTAATCATTCTTCCACCACCTACGCGAGGTAACACTCAACTCAGTCTTCGGATCAAGGAACGGTGTTAAGACGTACAGTGATCTGACTTGCTACTAATTAGCGCTAGGGTCTCGCGACGTGGTCGGAGGCAGACAGGTGTCTCAACCCTTTCCTTAATGAGTGCGATCGGACACACAGAATTGCTCTACATATTGCTTCCCATCATCACTTACATATAACGAGTGTAGAGTGAGTTCAATTGTCAGCTGCAAGGTGTGTCAGCCACTCAGCCAGACCCTGGCTCCCGAAGTTGCTTCTTCTGGAATGTAACGCGAGCCTTCCCTTTCAGCACTATTTACAGTCAAATATTTCGAGGTACAATATCATAGCGCAGACACTACATTGAGCAGGATTTGCGATTCAGTTACTACAGACTGACATCGACCCATACCAGCCGAGGTATATCACCATACGTTCTTGTCCGCTATGTCTAGGTCTTCTCTGGCACTTGTCTGACCCTTCTTTGACTATCCTCTGACTATCCTCTGACCATCCTCTAACCATCCTCTGACCATCCTCTAACCATCCTCTGACCATCCTCTGACTCTCTCCTAACTCTTATCTGACTGTTCTCTGACTCTTCTCGTGTCATAAGAAGCTGAAATTGGCCCCAATGAGAAGGATCAAAGTTGCACTGGATATTCTGAGAGCTAGAAGGTGTGGCTCCACGCGACATCTTCCCGGACACCGTCCGCTAAGTCGTGGATTCGCGGCCAAAGTCACGCCAGGCATACCTTCCGTGACGGCTCGTGAGATGCTCGACTCCCAGCGACGTTCCCACGTGGGGGATATCCACCATCATCTCCGAACCAGCGGCATTCTGAAGATACGCCTCCTGTTTCCCGATGACGATAGCCAATATCTGGAGCGCATAATACTTAACCTTTGCGCTCATCACGGGCATGGGCCTCCTACACGCCACAGCGCTTCCCGAGGCTGGTTCTGGGATGTTCGCCCCAGCTCTGCTGGCATAGAGACAGGAGTTCCCCTAGCACGATCAGAAACCATGCAAGAGTTCCAGTGGCACACTGACTGTAGCTACGAGAGCGCACCCCCAAAATACTTTGCGCTTCAAGTTCTGCAGCCTGATCGCTACGGTGGGGGTACCCTGTCCCTCATGACGATTGCCAAGCTTGCGCATCACCTGTCCCCGGCTGTACAGAAAGCTCTATTCGAACCGGAGTTCAAAATCAAAATTCCTCTTGAATTTTCTAAACAGCCTGACCAACAGCACATAATGGGGAGCATCCTTGGATTGGACAAGATGGATAATTCGCTGGTAGTGAGGTTCCGGGAAGACCTGATAGAGCCCATGAACCCCAGGGCTGCGGCAGCATATGAGGAGCTGAAGGTTGCGTTGAATCAGCTGGCAAAAAGTCCTCATTCCATGCTACACCTGACAGGGACGGACTTACCCGAACAGTCAATTATCATACTGGACAACCATAAGTGGCTCCATGGGCGGGATGCCATCAAGGATCCTGCCAGGCATTTGCGTCGAGTGCGATGGAATACAATGTCGTTCCCTTCCGGCACGGCGGGCTCTTAGAAAGGGTGGCCTACCCTCGGATAGGAAGTTTAGGAATGTACTTACTCGATTTATTAATCAGCCAGTAGTGCCGCTGCTTCCGCTGTTCAACATCCATGAGCGTGCTTGGTCAGCTTTACTACAATACCGTGTTGGTAAGGGCATCTCGAAGTCTCTTAAGTGCGAGAGCAGGCAACATTTACTTGCGAAGGGAACGAGGATAAGCGAAATAGCATACGAAAATAGTCAAAAGAAATGAATTGTACTACAGATCTCCAGTCCGAAGACTGAACGCATCCTTATATTATGCTCTCCAAGGATAAATATCAGCGGTACAAACGCCGATTAAAAAATCTATATATAGAGAATTACCCTATATTGTACCATATTATTCGGTCGACAAGCTAATTATGATATATTCCAGTATTTGCTGGTAGCACTTGCCTAGATCGTGTGACCACAAAACTAGACTCAGTCTTCCATTCCTTTTAACCTCATAATCAAGCAGCTAATATATGTGTATAAAGCCCAGACGGTGCAATCAAAAAGTACAACGCCACTCCGGATAAATCTCATCTCAAAACTCCCTACTCTCACCAATGCCACAGACATCAAACACTCCTTGTTCTGGTAGACCGCTCTTAACCAGCGCATCCTTCAACAGTCGTGGCGGTTCCATTACATCCTCCTCCGCAACAGCCCAAGTCCCCCAATGAATCCCAATAGCCTTCTTACATCTTGTATCTTTAAATATTTCCACAGAATCATAAGGGTTTGAATGAACAGTACTCAGAACATGTCGTGGTCTATACGCTCCGATCGGAATGAGTCCAAGATCAAACGGTCCACAGACCTCTCCGATCTCCTTGAAGGCCGGACAAACTGGTAGATTGGCGTAGTCCGGGCCCCAGTCATCAACGTCCTTCGGGAGGTGTGGAACAACGCGATAGCCTGTGTCACCTGCGAAGTAGACCGACTTGCCGCCGGAGGAAACGGACCAGGAGGCCCATAATGTTGTTGCTTTATCGAAGGGGGTGCGAGCAGATGTATGTTGACAGGGGAGACAGGAAATTGTGGCTGTAGCTGAGACGTCGTTGTGTGGTGGGATTGAAGTGGAGTCCGAGGTGTTATCGTCGGTCGTGGCGGCCAACTCGAGATTGACATTCTCCCACCAATCTAGCTCAATGACATTATCTATGCCACAGTCTTCAAACCACCTTTTAAGGCCTTTAGGTACGCAGAATTTGACTGACGGGTGATGTTTCTGAGTTTCAAGAACTGTCGGGTACGAAAGATGGTCATAGTGAGAGTGGCTAATCACAACCTTGACAACCTGTATGTCAGGCATAATCGCAAACAGAACGTGGGGATCAAGACCTACACAATCAATGATCGGGATGTCAGATATATCGCACGGTGTAGGCGTAAATCGTTTGTGTCCTAACCAAGAGAACGGTGAACAACGTTCTTCAAACACGGGATCGAAGAGAACGCGTAGACCAGTAGGGAATTCAACGAAATAGCAGGCGTGACCTAGCCATGTTGCACGCAGCAAGTCGGGGCGTGTGGCAGCTGGGAGAAATGTTGGCTTTGTTACAGGTACGGTCGATAGAGTGGTGTCAGGTTTCTGGCTGTTCCCTGAGAGAAATTTGTGTCTGCAGAGCTTTATCAGACGGTCGATTCAGTTGCCAAATGACGAGTGCATACCGCATCATAGATTTGAATATTTCCGGGAAGGTGAAGTCGCGAGAACTCTCCCATGGATTCCGAAAGCCCTTGACTTGCTCAGTTTGACTTTCATCTCTCACCCAATGGGTCTTTTTGCTCGCACTCTCGGGTGCCGCTTTTGATGCGGATGGCGTGGCGAAGGTCCAGGTATAGTTTTTTCTTGAGGTCATTGTGGTTGTAAATGGTGTTCTCCTTTTTAAGTGCTGTGCGGGTTGAAGAAAGAAGCTGGGGCAGGGCCTGCTCTGCATAGCCACTTCCCGCAGTCCGCCCGATCTATTTCCTGGAAAGAATGTATATCTGGATACAGGATAGGATATATGCGCAACGTCAGGTGGTAATCTTGTTATCAAGGCGTCGGTGCAGGAGCTGGCGCTTAAGCCTCCTCGGGCTGGTTTCAGGCGTCCCATTTTGCCGGTCAGATCCGGGCCACGAACCAATCACACTATCTGCTCGAAGCTTGGTTTCCTTGGTGTATCCCAAAAATAGAAGATGAGCGTATGACCCTATGGGTGATTACTCTACGCTCCCAGCTCAGGTGGATAAACAAATCTTGACTAGACTTTGTTCTGAAACTTGCTCCTCGGTCTTGAATTCCAACTAACAAAGCGTTGGGTTCTATTCACACAGTCCACAAACCGGACAAAAGAATCTCTTCTTCAACCAATCGGTTTCATATCGACCGCCCTGATACAAACTACCCCTGAAACACAAAGTCAAGGAGTCCCAAGGGCGATCCTCGAGGCACATGAACCTCTTTCAGTTCAAACCGGCTGTCGGCTCGCTTAATAACATCACTCCAGTCCTCCACCTTCCGCTCCTTGGAGTTGCAGCCAACAAACATCTGCATGTCCATCGATGCAACCAACTTCCTTACTGGCAATGGAGGCTTCGCGCCTGTTTCCTCGTCATAGTCCTCCGGCAAGACGAAATCAAAAACCACCAAATGGTTTCCTGGCTTTAGGACGCCAAGCAGATTACGAACAATCTGCGACACATATTTGTCGGACCAATCATGCAGGACTGACTTAAGCAGAAACACGTCTGCAGGGAGAGCCTGCGGTTCGAAAAAGTCATGTGTTTGGAACTTGATTCGCGAGGCATAGGGAGTGGAACTGATGTTTTCGTCGAAGGCAGACTGCACCGAGGCGAGGTCCTGCACAACAAGATTGAGCTTCGGATAATTTTCAGCAAGAATAACGCTGATATGCCCGGCTGATCCTCCAAGCTGGTTTACTTTAGTACGAAGCTTCTGATATTATCCACGTAATAATGGCGGGACGGGGAAAACTCACATCAACAACTGTTGCCTCGTCCAAGCTACCCCAGTCGAACTGCTTCAAGACAGACTCAGTCATAACTCCTCTCGTCATACGAAGCCCCTGCATCGCCTCTGCAAAGCGCTTCGCTCGGGACCCTTTTGGCTGACCGGGTCGCTCAGAGTTATCGAGAAGATACCACAGATCTCTACCAATCTGATGGCCATCATATGTCGCCAGTGCGATTGCGCAGGCTGCAACATTCTCGGGAGGCTCGGATTGACCAACAAACCACTTCTTTAAAGCATCTACTCCAACAGTAGCAGCCGGTCGGATATCCTCCATATTATGTTCGAGATATGACTTAACGAACGGGGAACGCACAATGTGCGCTGAAGCCGCCGTGTGCACCACTCGGTCAGAGCCAGGCGCTTCCTCTGCGAAAACGAAGATTGTGAATGCTAATCTGAGGAATCGTCGCACAATTTGCTCGGGCAAGTTGGTTGACTTTGCAATGTCGGCGTAGCTGGCTGAGCCATTTAGAGGGACGGCGTCCCAGAAGTTGAAGTTGTTGAACACATCGAAGGCGAGAAGTGCATGGTTAAGCTAATCTGCGTTAGTATGCTTGGAGTATCCTGAAGGAAAAAGGTGCTTGCTGTTCTGTATACTTACAAACATGCTTTGCTGAAACCAGAAGTCACTCGGGCCGACAATAAGGTGGTGAAGGGTTTCCAGCGTTTCCAAGAGCTTCAGCCGAGGGCCTTGGATCTCTGCACTTGGTGGCAAGGATGCTGGAGAATCGATCGCGAATGATGGTTCTGGCTGGTTCAATGCCTCTAGCTGATTGGCGAGAGACTTTGAGAGATCAGCGATAGTAGAGCCAAGGGCCTCAATGCCCTGCTTCGATGAAGCCATATTAAAATAGTGTTAGGGAGGAGACTGCTAAGTGATTTGCTTCGATCCAGAGTTCCAGAGATCATTATGGCAAGGTGCAGCCTTTATAGCTACCTTTTCATGCAGTCCTCCCTTTGTTTTTCAAACGGTCAACAAACCCAAACAGGAAGTGATGTCCTTGACATGGCATCAGTGCCGCTGGAACCCTCTGGATGTGAACAAAAGCCACTCTCCTATTCGAGAAAGCACACCGCTGAGATTCATTTCTAAAGTCTGCCTCGTTCGTGCTCCACCTCGTCTAAACTGCGTCATATGCCGAAATATGCTAAGTAAAGGGTAGGAATCTTGCGACCCAGCTAATCAGCTCGTATCACCCACCCAAGAACCCGATTCGGTCCGTGCACGCCCTGAACTCTCTGACCGTCTCCTGCGACGTGGTTAGAAGAACCACTGATCTGCATTCCGCATTTGGTATGCCTGTCGGTGATACACCTCTCTGGCGCAGCATGCCATCTGGTCAAGTCTTTGAAGGTCACATTGATCACGCACAACAGACATGAATACGAAGCTTCTAGGACCAGCATGGGACGTATGAAAGTGCCCTCCGCATGACAATGGGTAATCGCGCTTTTTACGGCGGCACATCATGAGGTTGAAGTTAGCCCAAAGAGAGTATGCTTTTGAAAGAACATTCCTTCGCATCTGGATCATGATCCCTGATTACGAAATATTCCGTTCAATACTTAGACTTCATCGTTCTTTTTGGCATTGTTAACTAACTTGCCATGATACAGTAATTCGCCATGTCCTCCAATGATTCTTTAACCTAACGACTAGTTTAATCTACTAGATAGTCACTCCGACCACCAAAGTAACAACGCTTACTATCACATTTATTCAGCTTTCCTGCCAATAACAGTCTACCTGGTGCACGCATGAAATGCCCCGTGGTATTTCTCCTTCAAAACCTCCGGGAGAATCTCCTTTAAGCGCCGTCCTACTTCGTCGTTCCTTGTCTTCCGGGCAACCATATCATGTACCATCAACACGAACTCATGTAACATGTAATCCACGAACCCCAGTCCTTCACGAGTACCTTTCTTGACATCCACGAGCCCAGCACCCTCAAATAACCGCGCAAGCTCAGGAACCCAGTGAGGAGTCTGCGGAGCGAGTAATCCGCACTATCTCCTCAAGAGCGGCGGTGCTGCATTCACCGCTGATCTCATCGATGCGCAGGGAATGGATATCCATCTCTCCCCATTGAAAGTAGCCACCAGGCCCTATAACCATGTGATATCAGTCTCTCGGGTCAAAACAAGGTTCACGCATAAACCATCATACTGAGGAGTTTGAACAGTTTGCTGACAATGGCTACGATCTCCTCATCCGATAACACAGACACTACGTTGCGGACATGAAAAATATTGGAAACCCTTCCAACTCGTGCGGGAAAACTGTTTTCATATCCCATTCGTGCAGGCCAGTATTGCGAGGGAGTAGCTCTTTGGGCAGAAAGGAGTCTAATGATGAGTCTGACGTATCGAGCTGGACTAACGGCGGAAGACGACGACTTAAATCGGTAAAAGCGATTCTACAACCAAACTTCAGTATACTCGCCAACTAATACCGATAGTCGCATAGATAAGAACCTACCCGGTTCCTGTAGCGATATCTGCAATTTTGAGATTCGCGTTCTGGAGGTATGTCTGGGTGCAGAAGGTATCCGAATAGCTCTGTCGTGAGATAGTGCTGTAGGTTGATACTGTCCCCAATTGTTAGAAGGCATAGCTATGGTACCAATTGTTGTCAAGATAGTCCCGTGGGAAAATATATTCTGGTGGGGACAGCGTAATATTCAGTGGAAATGTTGGGCAGCTCAGCTAAGTAAGCGCAGTCAGCGACAACTGTAATAATTACTATGTATTTTCATGCGGGTCTGACCACGAATGTACGTGCGCAGATTGGTTAATAGCTCACGCTGCTACTCGTAAGCTGTGTGTCTACTGTGCTTGTTAGATTCCGGACAGTCCCGTGGGAGCGGAGCGGTGATCTTTGTCTGGTCGTTTCGCAAGGCGTCACGGGACGCCTTATCGTTTAAATGGTACTGGATTGGCCTTAAAAGACCCTGCTATACACCATAGCCACATTCACTACTCCTTCAGCCTGTAAAAAGCAGATTATAAATCGCTAGAAGGCCATCGTGCCAAAGCAAAATACAGGGTAATTCTTTCACTCTTACTTCGCGAAAGCCTGAAACCACAACACAACGGTTTATTCATCTTCTCTACAAGCTGCCAATATTCAGAATGACACCCGAGCAATTCAAATCAATCTGGGATGGAATCTTCACCGGAAACCCAAGCGAAGCTCGTTCATTTTGTGAAGAAGTACTCAACCCCAACTATGTTCGCTTGGAGGCTGGCAGCGACCGAACGGACTTTGAGCGCGCCGTCGAGAAAATTACTTTCTTCCGCCAAAACTGCAAGAAAATCAATAGTTCCTTGCTATTATTCGCTTACGACAACAAGAAGCTTGCTGCACGACTGATTTGTGACTTGGCAATGGGTGAGGAAGAGGAGAAGAAGCTTGAGGTCATGATTATGGTGGAGCTTGACGACGAGGAGAAGTGGGTGTCTGCTTGGGAACTGATCTCTCCGTATTTGGGTTGATTTTGAGGTCAAGTGCAACCGGATACATATTTTGCTTTTGTTGGGGCGTGGACCTGAAGCATATACCGGCTCAATATATAATATTAGAGGAATGTGAAGTACTTGATGAGATTGTGATACGAGTGTATCTGCTTTCTACTACTTAGATATAAACCCGGAATATGTTCAGAGATTCCTGTTGGCATATTTGTTCAGCAGTACACTACGTTAACTTTTATAGCGTGTTTCCGGCTGTTGCTGCTTGATTTCTAAATGAAGTATGGGTTGAGTCGAATAGAAGTTAAGAAGAAAGATTCTCACGCAAATATAGGACCTCAGAAAAATGCTTTCTTTTATAACTCTGCCAGACCGTAAAATCGACAAGGAAACAAGGTATTCGGATCTACAAGCGGATATGAGTTGGCGAACAAGATATGGATGTTACAGATAATGCAACAGGAATCACCAAACTTGCAGGAGATGGATTGACGCCGCCGTTGGAGGACTGGAAATGTGGTCTTGGCATGCCGAGTCCTGGTATGTTCTGGCATTCAACGAAGTATTGCTGTTTGCGTTTCTCAAAGTAACACAGAAATACCATAGCTCAGCTTTGGCTAAGCTCGGCAATATATCTCTGCGAATGACCTATCGATGAAAGAACATAATATGATGACTAATTAGTGATTTAAAGACTACCAGAAGGGGTAACATTTGGTCTCCTTCATGCCCAGACCGTGTCCCGGTATCTTACCGATGGGTTAGGCAACTGGCTTCTCCAGAAAGCCCTCCTCGGATGTTATCCGAAGCGGACATACCCCGTGGGGTATCCAAATCCAAGACCCATATTCTTGCCATGTTGGACGATATGCCTGAGATAAATGCAGAGCGAACTACCTCCTCTTGTGCATTTTTGAGGACATATTCATTATTCGCGGTGATTTGGCTGCGAGCTTCAAAGCGTAATACCGCTATCGTTGATTTCAGGTGGCATAAGTACTTTGGATGGCAATGGAGCAGGACTTTGCAAAGGAAGGAAAAGTAGGTGCTGATGTAGCGCACCTTGAATCTATTGCCTATGCAGGCTTCTCGGACGAAGAGGCCGCAATCCTACGTGCGTATGAAGGAAAACGAGGCAAGCAGGTTATCAGAAAGGTGAATATGACATAATTTTCTGTTAACCTCTATTATTTTTTTTGACAAAATGCAAAGATTGACCGACATATCATCCCGGTTCTCGGATTGCTTTACCTTTTCTCCCACGTTGATCGTTCAAACCTGGGTAATGCGAAAATCGAGGGGATGGGTAGGGACCTGAACCTTGTTGGGAACCAGTACAACATTGCGAGCAGCCTATTCTTCGTTCCTTATATTATCTTCGGTAAGTCTGGATTTAATAATACTAGGGATCACCTCAGTTGCTAATGGTCATGGATCTGGCTCAGAGATCCCGTCGAACGTAATGCTCAAGAAAACACGTCCAAGCTTTTGGCTTGCAGCTCAGGTTCTCGCATGGGGAATTGTGATGACATGCATGGGCGCTGTTCAAGGTTTCGCAAGCCTAACTGCATGTCGCGTATTATTGGGTATATGTGAGGTACGCTCACCCTCATCATAGGCTTCCACATGCTCACCACACATTCTGTGTTAAGGCGGGATTCTTTCCCGGCGCTGTCTATCTCGTCACCCAGTGGTACCCACCGAACGTTATCCAGCAACGTTTAGCTGTTCTATACACAGCATCAGCCATTTCGGGAGCTTTCAGTGGCCTCTTAGCCTTTGGTATTTCGAAAATGGATGGCATTCGCGGGATTGCAGGCTGGCGATGGATCTTTATATTGGAGGGTATTGTCCCATCTGCATTCAGCCTGTTCCTTCCACTTCTGCTACCAGATAGTCCCGAAAAGGTGGGCTGGCTCACAGCAGAAGAGAAGCAATATCTCGATCTTCGCTTCCGACAGAGCGGTAATCGGTCCACCACCGGAGAAGGAGATAAATTCTCCTGGTCATTGCTGCTCAATACCATGCTAGACTGGAAGATCCTTCTAGGGGCGCTAATGGGCATGGTCAACGCCGCCCCTAATGCGGCATTTTCCTACACAATGCCCACGATTATCAATAAGCTGGGCTTCGAATCGCAGGACGCACAGTTACTGACAATTCCACCCTACTTCTGCGGTGCTGTTTCCAGCTGGTTGAGCAGCCGACTAGCTGATCGGTTTACTTGGCGTTTCCCATTTATCGTCGGTCCGATGGCCTTGCTGCTTGTATCTTTCTTGATACTATTGATATTGTCAGCTAATGTTGAGGCCTACAAAGGCCCGATGTATTTTGCGATCATTCTAGCACAAATCGGTATTTATCCGTTGCTGCCTGGAATCTCAGCCTGGACCGGGAATAATCTTCCCCAGTCTTGGAAAAGGTCGATTGGTATCGCCTGGCTATTGGCTGCAGCAAATACTGCTTGTCAGTTTCAGTCTACTTCATGAACACCTGGGATCATCACTGACGTTGCCAGGCTTCATTGGAACTAATGTATTTCTTGATGACCAAGCTCCACACTATGTGGTCGGATACGGTGTGTCACTTGGGATTATCGCTATGGGCATTATTGCGGCTTGCTCACTTGAATATGCATTGTGGCGCTTGAACCAGCACAAAGATGGTGTTTCTGAGAGTGAAGTTCTTGCGACTTATACTCCGGATCAGCTGGCAGCCATGGGCGAGAAGAGCCCTATCTTCAAGTACACGCTGTAAAAGCCCCTGGTCTTTGTGGAAACCTTCTCTGTCATCCTTGCCTTCTATAAATACTCTCATTATATTTGTGACTCAATACACATGTCTTCGCATGGTAGAGCTCAATTCCAAGAAACCGCATTAGAGATAAGTGTATTTGTTATGGGATTGCGTTCCTGTACTCATTGATCTTGGATTTATATTTCCGTTGATTATGTCTTCTCCATTCTTTAACGACATAGAGCAGGTTACCTTTAAATGAAGATATATTTCATATATAGTGCGGCTAATTCATGCTCTTCATTTTCTTGTTATGCTCTTAACGGCTTCTATGTCTGCAGACCTAAAGTAGGTCGTCATGGTAGACAACATATGATGCATGATCGTAAATTTGGAAAGTCAATAAGTAAAGGATTTCTTTATATAATTTCCGGCCCAAGTAGTTTAATCAAAATCCTTTGTCACGGGATATTTCATCCCTCTCAACCTGCAATGTGCCAAATATCTGATTACCTTTGCCACCAGCCTGCCGTACTAACAGTTTGCTAATTTGCTCACTGGTATTTGAAGTTCCAAAAGGCGTCAGAAAAATGCAAAAGCATTCGGAGGGCTGGCAACAGCGCCAGGAGCCTGTAAATTATAGGTACGGTGAGACACATTTTACCCGAATATTTCCATCGGAACGGGCAGGACTCACATTCATAGGAGCGCTCGTGAAAAAGAAGCTATACCTGTTCGCTTCACTGCAGGCTTTACTCAACTTTTCCAAGTCGAACAGTTCTCCAATAGGCATTCCCCACCCAGCGAGCAACCACTCATGAAGATGCCATTGAGTCTGCGTGCAAGGCCAAACTTCGAACGATCGCGTATCGCCTGCAACAGCGCTCACCTTCTTTTCCCAAAGAAACCTCAGGAGTTCTTCGGAAGGCTCGACCCCGATGTTTTCGGGCTTCTGCTTCCTGTAAAGCGCATCAAGTCGCGCTCGTTTTTCTTCGCTCATATGTTCGTACTGACTGATGTAGCCGAACCGAATCAAAATAATATCGCCAGGTCTAATGTCATCCTCACATAACCCCTGGTACCCAAGTGCCTCAATAAGCTGGTCAAACGGTACGGGATGAGGACTCATGGCATCAACAGTCTGGCCTTTGCCTTGGTACCATTTGTACCAGTCGATAAGTATGCCACGTCCAGCGATACCTCTTTCTGCCATGTCTGCGACATATGTTTATTATTAGCCCAAACTGCCACTCTCGTGCGTATGTTTCAAATAAATTACACATATAGGACTCATACGTTGAACTCCGTTCGGGATTGTGGATGTTTCGAAGTCCTCTGCTGTTCGACCCATGTAGTAGAGCTGCGTACATGTCTCTTAGAATATGGGCAGAAGCTGCGGCTTTGTCTCCGCTCACCTCTTCGTTTTGGTAGGCATAGTGTCGAAACCCATCCCACTGGGAGCTGCACTGTGGGTTGAACGACCACTATTTTATCTTCAGTATAGCAGTTATTCCCAGGAAATCTGATAAACAAACCTCATCGTCATGCGCATGTTTAAGAGGCGCCTTATATATCAATTTCAGCTCGAGAGTTTTGCGCGTCAAGTGAGGATATGAAGAAGCATTCAGAGCCCAACTATAGGAATCTTGCGTTAACAGACCCTGACGTTCCTGGTGCGGCGACGATGAGTTACTAGTAGCTAACATACTTCAAAGTTACCCGGGCTCCGGTTTTAATCTCTTCTTTGGCTGCCTTCGCCACTACTGTGTCCGTAAGATGATTCAGAGATCCGATCTGATCGTCAGGACCCCAAAGGCCCCAAGCGTTACCGGGAGGGCCATCTTTCTTCAACGGCAAGTCATCGAAGGAAGGGTAAACGTGGATTTTTGAATCCATCTTTAGTATATCGTCAGATTTTGCGATTGGTACTATGTGAACTATGGAGTATTTTCATTCTTAAAGCTTATTAATTGCATCAACTTCTATGCCGGGACCTGGTGTTGACACGGGGATTTTCCGATGAGGAGATCTTCCGATGTCGGTAAATGTCCGCCTTTACATTAGTATGCGCAGATCTAGGAAATTTGCCTAAAAGGGTTCCTTGGGGATGTTTGACAGGCTGGATCGGACGTATTCCACAGTCGTCCGATAAAACGTGACCAGTTCGAGACGGGTTGGAAGACTATACGTAGTAGTGAGTCTATCCGTCCCTCGACCCGACATTGCGGCCCTTGGATCTTGGTACTATTTACCGGGCTATAGGGAGAGGCCCTTGTAGTCTTGGCTAGGATAGTCTGAAAAGCAATGCGCCCATCGGGAAAGAAATATAAAGGGAGGGGAAATATATTTCCCTGAGTAACAGAAGATATGTCGCAGGAAATTTCAGCTAGTATCGATGATACCTAGTTGACAATTATATGACTTCGATTCCATCCATGAAGTGGGTTAATCATAATAACATGTTCTATTCGCTTATCTCACTCCAGCACACAAAAAATTACGAGAAAATAGATAAGTAAACAAACTAGGAAACCATCATTGAAGAACTGTATAATGAAAACATGTCTAGATTTATTGAACTCATTAGTTAATTTGAAAGACTTGGGCGACATACTACCTGTGTCGATCAAGCAACGGTTCTATTATTCCACAGATGCCCTCCTCTCCCTCGAAAACACTTTTAATCGTCTTGGTCTATAAATGTATGAAAGGCCGCCTCTTCTAAGACCCATTGATGGTGGCGAATCGAACTATTATTTGCGAATTATGGCCGCTTTCCAGCATTCCGAGATTTTTCCCCAGTACTGCTGTGGATGGAGCCTCATATGGCCAACATGTGGTGAGCCCTCGAAGAGCTCGATGTCAACCGCCCGATAGCCTAGGGTCCTAACTTGGGCAACATTCTCTTCAAGGTCCTCGAATCCTATAATCTCGTCTTCCTTTGAATACATGTACAGCCGATTGGACTCTCGCGTTGTGACCGACTCATCATTCATTACCCGATCAGCCCAAACTCCAGAAGGTTCCAGCCCACGCAGCCACCCCAGCCCGGAGTGAATCCAGAGGATAGCAAACCACAATGCCTGCGTGACCATACAAGGCCACGGAAAGAACTGGGATGTGCCCAAAGCCATAGCCCGCGACCAGCGGCCGGCTTGAGTGAAGATAGAAAGCCCGCCGGGTGTTGAATCGCAAACAAGAAGCTCATGGGGTAGTCTTTTGTCCGCGCCATGGCGTTTTTGGTAAGCCGTTATGGTAGCGGCCAAGAATATACCGCCGGTATTTGACATCGAATGCAGGAGAACTCGCTCTTCATTGCTGCCGTCTCCCGTTGGAGTAGGGAAAACAGTGTCAATAACAGGCATCATGTCTTGTATTCTAGCTTCAAGAGGTTGGTTCAGAGCCTGTAAGGTGCTTGACAGTACGAGAAGAATCCGAGCGGACGGGTACAGATCGTGGAAGCCATCGGCATATTTTGAGACATGCTTCGGCATACCGTCACCCCAGCCAAAGATGATGATTGTGGTTGGCTCGTCCTTCCCGCATGATTTGGCTTTCTCTCTACCATGGCGTAGGTACACTCGGTCCGACAAAGGAGTAAACTCTGCGGACAGCATTATTTGGCTAAACCCTACAACAGGCGGCGGTGGTTGGTTATGTGCAATTGATGTTTACCAGAAAGAAAGAACCATAGAATTAATGAATGAATGAACGAATGAATGAGTGTGTGAAACTTCAAACTCGCACAGAAAGGACGTTCATGATTCTGGAAACGAATAAAATAAAGAGTTCGAGCAGCTTCAACCGTTGGAAAGTGTCAGCATCGAAACGAAAAAAAAAAAGTTAAATCCTGTTGACGTTCTTTCTTTCTTTTCTGAAACATCAACGCCACATTGTTGTCAAGGTTTCTAGTGCCAAAATGTCCGCCAATGTCTGCTCTTCTAGCACAGACGTTGGGGATGGCTTTTCCAGTTTCTAATCATAACTGGCCTAGGACCTCGGTTTGCTTTCAGATTAGTAATCGGACGGCATTCTGAGATTCGACGATTTTGAAGTGTGTACTAAAGTGAACGAAACATAAGGAGCTGTGTCCTTCTTCTTCTCTTGTTGCGAGCCGGAAACAAAACCGTGCTGTTTTTAATGACTTCTCTGAGCTACGGCGTATGATGCGAGAACCCAGGCAGACTTGACACTGCTTTCGGCTGTCTGCAGTTGATTTCTAGGGAAAGTGGGTCCGACGGGAGGATACTCTCGTGGGATGCTAGCTATGAGCGTTCTGATTGGTCAGTAGGAAGTCGGGAATGGCTTCATCTTTGACTGACGGTGTTGGGTCAATCCGGACGATTATTATCCTCGATCTAAAATCGCTCTAACTGTAGATCACAAAATAACCCCGAAATCTTTCTTTCTTTATACAGGATCATAATACAATATCGAGTACTTGTAGATGACTGAAACGGTGGCGCATATACCGATGTATAATAAGCGGCGAGGAATCACCTCTCAAGTGTTTCCTTGCCTGATTAGGATGTTTAGATTCTGCCTTACACTTCTGCAGATTTGTTCGATGTGTCTAGACGTCTGCCGTTTGAGATAGATGTATGGAAGTTACCGATGCAGTGCTCAAGACCAGATAATCTAGTTAGGTGCCGATCAATCCCTTCCATATCGTCGGAAGGGTCCGCACCCTAGTCTGTACTTGCATTACATCAAACCATTTAAGGAGACTCAAAGCGCCATTTTTTGGATGTTTGTACAACAGTTGAATCAATGAAGATACCGTACTACCGAGCCCAACCAGTGTCCTACTGAACGTCACAAGAAATGGAACCCGAAAATAGCACGTCAACAGACGACAGACAAAGGCTAGTACAGGGATTGTGGGAATATCGGCTTCAGCACTGGTTTCCAACTGAACGAGGCTACAGTATCTCAGTCATGAGAGACTCCCAAACCTACAGTGCGCCTATTGACATCGTCGCAGTGACATATGTGCATTCCCGTTTGACGTTCCATATAGTTGCGAGCGAACTTGATATTGAGCACCCTAATCTTCATCTGGAATTATTGGAAGATTTAGTACGCGTGATTATACCACCAATCATTGTTGCCCGCGGCGGCGTACAAAGACTTTTTCCCTGGGGAGCAACTTTGATCGGCACTATAACAACGTTCTACAAAAGACATGACAATGATGACTATCTGACATGTGAGCCCTTCAGTGACCTGTATCAGGCCTTGGGTTACATCAAGGAAGACTTCGAGGCGATCACAACCTCTCCCTTTAGCATATGGGAAGATCGTATAACTGACTCTCCACCTGACACACAAGTTAACGGTGCCATGGACAGTGATGAAAGTGGCTCTGATTCAGGGGTAACTGTTGAAACAGTACCAACGGTCGAATTAAACTACCGGCCATCCACCGGTAGATACCCTTACGTGAATTCTGTAGAAACTTCTGAAGAAGAATAAGTCAGGGAAGATGCAGTTTCTGTCAATGTAGTTCAGACGGGTACCCTCAGTCTCAACTTTAACAATATGTCTACTATGACAAGTCGGAAATAGCCCATGCCCTAAGCATAGTATCTACTATTACAGGGCTCAGCAGCTGGTTGATGTCTTCGCCATTCATAGCCAATTGTGTGCAGTAATAAGACAGAAAGTTATGGAACTTGTCCAGAAGGTTGCAAGTTCCTTTACGAAATGGGGGAAAGGAGGCCCTTGACCCATCAAATTCCTCAGCTGCCATCTTGGAAAACCACTTTTAAGTCGACGGCTTCGCGGCCCGTGCCAAGGATATGGTAATTCTTGAAAATTCGGGGAAGTACCGACAAAGGCATACCCATGTTGATGGAAGTTCCATAGAGTTTCACTACCTAATAGCACCTACAGTAATAGTATATGAAGCTTTCAGATCTCGCACTAATTCACCTTCCTTGACACCATTTCAGTACCTCTCCGCCCAGAAACACCCTGACCATACCTACCTTTCGGCCTCAAGCCAAAGCTTAGCTCAGGATAAAGCCCCTCATGGCCACAGAAACACTTGTTGGACACTGGAAATCAGGTTTAAAATGGTGGTTCCCTCGCAGAGAACGTTTCAGTATCAGTGAAGAATATATAGACACCTTCGAGACAGCAATATACATTTTGACGGTCTCACATTCTTATTCCCCAGTGACCTTTCAAATAGTCCTTGGCGACGCAGACCCAAAGCATCCGAACCGACATTTTCGATTATTGGCTAACCGGGTACGCCCAACCGAGGCGCCGATGCTCAATTCTGGGGGTGAAGAAGTCCATCCATGGGGAGCAACTGTGACTGATGACTCGTTGGCAACCTACAGAAGGATTGGCGACAATCCCTTGTCTGTCTTCGATAGGTTCCGACATGGAGTGCCTAGTATTGCTGCAGCAGATTCACCTATGGCTTATGTTTTCGAAACGATAAGAAGGGATTTCGAGGAAACAGCAGTTCGCGACAATAGCAGCGAGGGGATGAGTACTTCGCTGTCCGACTCAGAATGTAATGAATGGTCTATTGTCTCTGATTCCGATGGCGGGAGAGATCTCTTTTCTTCTCGTGCGAATATCGGGGCGCCCAGAGTAGTTAAGAGGGAGTATTCCCCAGAGACCGCAGCATACCTCGTGGATGCACCTTCACACAGTTCTTTTGACTCTCATTCCTACGTTCTCAGAGAGAGAGAAGGCCGGGAAGGTATGTTTATTCCACATCGGCCCAGCAGAAGCTACGAAGGTCCTGCGCCGACTGTGCGTCGATGGCGGGATGAGTACCGACTTTGAGACTCAGCTAGTGGCTTTTAGGAGTCACATGGTGCCTATTATGGCACACTCATCTTCCGATCCCTTCACCGTCATGATATGCGACCGAATGGAAGAGATATAATGGTTGTTCATGAACATGTGGAGGTACTTGGCTGTGTACATTGCCTTGATACGTTTGAGGATCCTCTTGCGTTAGGTTTTATTTGAGAGTTGAAAGCCATCTTGATGGCTGTCTTGAGTTGGCAGTCTGTCGTCGTGTGGTGCTCTAAGACATTTAGGAATTCCTCTCTGTCCCTAACTCAGCCTCAGATAGGTGGAATAGAATCTAATCTTATCCGATGTGATATCATCTCATCTGATCTATATGTGACGTTCACGCATCACCGGCGCGTCCATCTATTGGTCTATTGTGGAAAGTGGATTTTCGCGATTGTTCCAACATCTAGGAGCTTTCGGTGAGGCGATTGGGTGCCCACCTTTCCTGAGGTTTGGAAAGGGTTGTGCCATGATGACGAGTGAATACCGGTGGGTCAATCAGTGGAGATAAGATGTAGTGATAAACTATGTGGTATCGCTGATGTCATCTATGCTAGTCACAGCTGGTCATGGAATTCTTCACACTCTCATTGTAATCTAAATCTGTTGCGTTGGAATGTCTCTGGTGGTAGCAACAGTGCCACCTTAAGCGCAGAGGAAAGATTGACTTGGTTCGCCTGCCATACGCGCAGATCATCGCAGACAGTCCTCGTAGGTTTCTGAAGCCTCCCAGCAAGATAGAGAGTATCCCATGTCGTGAGATCCCTACAAAGAGTATCCATTCTGACAACACTATATTCAATAAGCGTCCCATTAACCATAACAAACGGGTTGAAGTAGACACCCGCACCAGCTTCTTGAATGCGCGCGACTGCGCGCGACTGCGCGCTTCCCTAGCCTGCCTAGAGCCGCGTAGTGATGGCGGTTTTGCAGAAGTTTGAGACCATGCCACTCGTCAGCACAGGAGACGCCGAAAATGAAATCTATCGTCTTCTGGTTACTCCCCTTCATCTGTGTGATTGTACACCCCAGACCCGCAAGCGAAGGCATAGGCTACTAAAAGGAACTTTGTAGTGATAGCTTTTCACTCTCGTTCGATGAATCGTGTTGTTGAACGCCGTAACTGGTTGATGTAGTAAGGTGGAGCTTCTAATTTGCTTGGTATCATCTGGCATCTGCGCGCTCGGATGCCTGCGCGGGGAAACTCCAGACGCATACTAGAAAGACGGCTGTATGAGTCGTGCAAGTATCTCTCTACACGATGCAAAATGACGTTGGGTGGGGCTCTATTGACGATACTAGTCATGGAAGCTAATCCATGTATTCTATTTGGGGAGGATTATGTTGACATTCCAGTCATGCAGTGATTGATTATCAAGGCAGGCACAAACTATTCGAATATAGTGGCAATTGAAACTAGCAGGGGTCTAGCAAGTATTCCGGTGCTAGCCACATAATGTAGACATGCACTCATCTCACCTTACTTCCCCAGACTCGATGCTTACGTGTTCAGTGTCAACTATAATTAATACTTGCCCAAGTCATGGGAGCGGGTATTAACCGCCATGGCGGAAAACATATGTACTACCCACACCAATGGTATTTTGCGGATCTACAGGTTTGTGCGGGGAAGAGACCTATAGTGCATTACTACAATACAAAATATTGACTATTTTATGATGGCATCATTATATATCTGAGGAGGCACGAAGTATTTGCCCGTCAATGTTTTGTTTGCCCAACTGCCCCTTCCGATGTTCTTCCTCAATGGCCTTGTTCTCGATATAGTCGAACGGGGGCGCCGCTTTCGTAATGGTACCGTTAGTGTCCCTTTCATTAACAAGGTCCATTTGTCTAAAGATATGGTCGCGGAAGCTCTCGTACGCGGGACCAAGTGCGTGCATGAAGAAGAATATCCGCTCAATCTCAGAGATAACACAGTCGGGGTCAAGGAGGAGCTTTCAGCATGAATCTTCCGGATCTCAGCGCCCAATGCTTGGGCGCTCCCATACTTTTCTCTTATAAGGGATATGTACTGCCACTGGAGTTTCACGTATGTGCCAGTGCCTTCTGGTTTGAAATAATCTTTTATGGCCTGGATGAGAAACTGGACTTGTAAGATCTTGAAGGTGTTGTGTATCAATTTTGCCGTGATCATTGCTGAGTAAAATCTTTGGCGATGAGCCTATTGTTGTGCCTTGTTCTCCTCTATTGGAGGCACCGCTCCATCATCGGTAATAGGAGAGATTTAAATGAACTGGTTGACCTTCTGGTTTTATTTGAATCAGTCACCGGTATTGTCAAGGATTGGAATATTGTTGTAGAATGTGCTTAGTTTAAATTGCTTAAATTTTGCAGTGTTAGTTATAATATAAACGGATTCTCCTCTGGACTGAAGAATTCTGAGTTAGATCTGTTGTTAGTTAAGTCGGAAGTGGCCGGGGAATAATAATTTGATGAGTTAAATAAGTATGCTTCTAATTAAAAAGCTCTAGACTTAATGCAGCGCTGGGGAGACTTGAGATGATGGATAGGCTGTGGTCTGACGAGCTTGGTATAGGTATATATGATGGAGGGACATATTCACTATCTGGTAATTTGGATGTCTTGAGATAACAGCCGTATGACTTAAAGGAGTGAGGGAAGTAGATATAATTAACTGTATATTATAGCTTCTGCTCTAGGAAGATTATGGATCTGTTTAGCTGGAGACTGTACTGGGTTGAATTATTATTACTTAAAGTCAGTGGTGCATGTCCGATCTCAGAATTTATTAAGTAGAGAGGACTTGGTCTCTGTTCTGGATTGGAAAATATAGTTTAAATTTAATAAGGAGATTTTTGTCTAGTAGTATGCCGGGACCTGGCAATAGTAGATACAGTAGTAAATGCCCGGTGTGTATACTCTTCCGGGGGTAGTTTTCTGTATCCTCCTCTAACTGTGTGTTGTAAAAGTAATGGAAATTTAATTCTTTGGATTTGTGTAAAGTGCTAATAATAAATACTTTGAAGATAGTATACTAAGTTGAGCTCTTTGTTAATCCAACTGTGTGTCTTATAAGATCTATATCTTTTTATCATGAGATAGAGTGGCAGACTTTCCCTTTTCGAGAAGATCAGGGTATAAAAGGGGGAAAGGGGTATCTCGGCATGCTGAACAGAACTGGTAATTTCATGTCTCTCTGCTAATGTAATATATTCTGTAGCAGTGTGGTGAGATGTCGTCACCTATGAGGTATTATAGACTTTAATTAGTCCGACAATCATCTTTGGCGGTGTGATAATGTATTGTCTCTTGCGAGGACTTGTTATAGAATATGGTTATTCTGGCGAATATCTGTAGCAGTGTGATGATTTTGTCAGATTCATGAGACTATTCCACACAGCTTTCCCCCCTCTTGATCATTAGGAGTTTGTCCTCTTCAATACAGAATCAACTGAGCCATCCCAGTTTAGTCAAAAGATGATGTTACCACTCGATGGGGAAACTTAGGAGTAGGGAATATTCTCCAAACTAAGCTAAGCAAACCGGGGCTCATAACCTGTTGAAGTGAGAATAAATTGATTGATTGATTGGTTGCTTCTTCTATCCTTACAGGGGCGGGGTGCCTCATAAAAAAAAAAAAAAAAAAAAAAAAAAAAAAAAAAAAAGATCAAGATGGCAATGTCTCACCATCTGGGTGGAGTTGCAAGCAGCCTCGCGAGTGGACAATTCCAGAGCAATGTTCTCGTATCTCCGCATCTACACATTACAATGACTCACCTCTCTCTATACCTCTCTATAAAGCCGACCTCTTAACTAATTCCCCCTCTAATAAAAGTACCTCTATCCATTCTCTCAATCATCATCATGTCTTCCCAAAACGACCGTGCCATCTACTTCCGCAGCCTCCACCACCCCGGCAACCCGATCGTGCTCAGCAACGTCTACGACGGCGCCACAGCCTCCTACATCGCGGGCCATGCCACCACCAAGGCCATCGCGACGGCCAGCTACGCCGTGGCCGCCTCGCAAGGCATCGCCGATGAGTCGCTCACTCTGCCGCAGAACCTCGCTGCCGCGCGCACCATCGCCGCCGTCGTGGCCGCTACTACGTCCCCACAGCTGCCCCTGACCGTCGACATGCAAGATGGCTACGAGGACGTCGCCCAGACTATTAGGGACGTCATCGCTCTCGGCGCCGTCGGCTGCAACCTGGAAGATTTCGACAACGCAGCGGGCAAGCTGCGCTCGCTCCCCGAGGCCGTGAACCGCATCCGCACCGCGGTCCAGGCTGCCCGCGAGGCTGGCGTGCCAGATTTTGTGATCAATGCGCGCACTGACGTCCTGGGCCCAGCGGGGACGGGATCTATCGAGGACGCGATCGAGCGGGGAAAGGCGTTTCTGGATGCGGGTGCTTGCACGGTGTTTGTGTGGGGGCCGGGCGGTCGGGGAGTCTCTGGGGATGAAGTCAGGGAGCTGGCGAAGGCGTTGGGCGGGATGGTTAATGTGAAGCTGAAACTTGGGGATGGATACTTGACGGTGTCGGAGTTGAAGAAGATCGGAGTTGCGAGAATCAGTCTGGGGCCGGAGTTGTGGCGGGCGGCGATGGGGGCGTTTAGAGAGACGGCGGATCGGTTGTTGGCGCAGGTTTCGTATGATTAGTTTAGGCATTTGGTGTATGTATATGGCTTAGACTTGGTAGATATGATATGAGTCAACCGTACAAGACATTTGAATCTAACGCTGCTATTGAATATATACCTTCTGAATTAGGTTAACAATCTCCTACAATCCAGACACTCATAGGATCAAAATCTAATTGAGCTGCCGGAGCCACTTCATCACAGGTCCCAGAAGGCTAAGAACCGAAAACAATAGCCCAACTCCAGCAGTGACCGCTGAACACCAGAGACCCGTCCGATACTCTTGCACAACTCCATGGCCATGCTTAATGTCCAGTTCTTGTGTTACGGCTGCCGCTATAGCGAGAGCGACCGCAGCTCCAAATTGAAACGCGGTATTGATCTAGGAAAAGAGCACTTGGTCGGCTTGAGCAGATTATACAGCTAGAACGGCGATACGTACCATGCCACCGCAAAAGCTTTTTACATTCACAGGGACTAGTGAAAGCATGACTGTAGATACTGTTACCCACGAAAGGGAAATGCCAGCAATTCCAAGGATTGAAGTTGGCAAAAGGCTTGTCCAACTACTTAAAAATCAGTTCTATGAATAATCTTTCGCGGGGGATAAAAGCATACAAGGACATATTCTCATGCATGCCCACACTTGTCGGTATAGGAGCCACTACAGCCATCGACATTCCAAAAAAGAGCAGCATTCTGGGACTGACTATATCGATCAGATATCCCAAGAGCATAGTGAGAATGAGGCCGCAGCCTCCCATAGGGAGAAAGCAGATCGCAGTTTGCTTTGCAGAGAGATGGCTGACCCGCTGCGCAGCGAGGACTGCGTAGTACAGGGTAGTTTGGTAACTGCCATAAACAGCTGGAACAGAACATGGTGAGAAATCAATATACAGCAGATTATTCATTTTGCTCTTTGGAGCGGGCAATTCCATACGTACCAAAAGCTGAAAGCCATAGCAGAGGAAAATGTGGCAGCTTCCACAAAGACAACGGCATGGTCGGATTGCTCACCTTCTTCTCCACGGAAACGAAGCCAATGAGAAGAACAACAGAAGTGGCCAATAAGCCAATAATGAAACCTCTATTCCACCCCTGCACACCCCCACTGGAAAGTACAAACGAGAGCAATACCAGTCCAGCGGTAGACAGGGCTGCTCCCATATAGTCTAATCGTGGGCGTGTACCGTCCTCTTTTCGATCCTTCGGGAGGACGAAGAATCCTAGGACCCCCAGACACCCCGTGATAATGACGCTGAGTCAGAAGACATATATCCACCCTAGAGACGCGGAGACGAACCCACCAAAAATGAGGCCTCCGCAAAAGCCCAGCGCGCCACAGGACGCAAAGACTGACAAAGCTCGCGACTGGTCCTTACCGACGTAATAAGAACCGATGATCCCAGGTGACGACGGGACAGTCATGGCAGCTCCGATTCCTTGAAACGCACGAAAGATCGCCAGTTGGAGGAAAGTCTCCCCAACCCCGACCGCAATCGTCCATATGGACAGCCAGAGGATGCCGGTACACAAGATCCATCGCCGGCCATACCGGTCGGACAGGACCCCAGACAACAAGAGAAAGCCACCGAATGTCAGCGTGTATGCAGATATGACCCACTGAAGATTGCTCGAAGTGACATTGAATTCCTGTTGGATGGTTGGTAAAGCAATACTCACGGCCGCATCAAACACGTTATCCATGAATTCACAGGGATGATGTGCTTAGGGCAGAGTCGGTTCACTGGGTCGGCCGCATCGCCGAAGATGGTGAGGGTCGCATCGGCTTTAACTTAGATGAGAGTACAAAACTAACGTATCCTTCAGCAGTCCGCCCATCGAGGTAGATATGGCTGGAAACGCAAGCCCTCCGAGAATAATATCCGGCAGATTGCCTGTGTTGCCTTCCGAATCGATAGTCATCAGAATCCCGTTGTCGTCCTTGGGTCGGTCTAACTCAAGATGCACGGGCAGCGCATTACCATCATTCATATTCAACTGGTGCGGCTGCACCTCCGCAATCCAACTTTGCTCCAACTTGCCGAACATTCTCTCGTAGATACTGTCGTAGAAGATTTTCAGGTACGGAAGAGTGGCAAACGTTACTGCCGCACTGGGCGGCCAAAGATTCAACCCCAGCGCCTGTCCTGCTCGATGTGCGACGAAAACCATCACGGGGATGGCGGGGAGAAGACCGTGTGCGTACCGTGTGCGTGAAGATCAACACGAGCGGGATGAGGGGCAACCCCAGGTTGAGCCCAGGATTCCATCTTCCATCTGCTGTTCCCTCCAGGATCTGTCGAGCCTCGTTGGTCCCAAAGACAATACATTGGCATGCTCTTAGCAACCAGCATCAAGTTAGTGGTTCATGACTTCTTAAATATATTATCGCGCTTTTTACATCTCTTTTGCTCTCTCTTCAGTTATGTGCTATATGTACTATTCGGTTAGAATCTGTTCTTTTCTTTCTCCATTCACTTATCCCAATTATCCCGAGATTTCACCGGAATAATCAATGATAAGAAGTAAGGGATCGTCGTGGTAGACCTGATGCCCTTATGCAGGCAACAGGAAGCGGGTGAGGAATGCGGGGACCCCAGAAATTCGAAACCTTATTTTTGCCAGCTATTTTACCCCGGATTTCCCTGTCTGCATTGTACAGGTAGAGACTTTCCCGGCGGAAAAATGAGACGTGAATCAAGCATCATAGGTGGCTCGCTTGCAGCGGCACTGCCAGTGACAGACAAGTACTGGTTTCAGCAACCACATTTACTACGACTGAATCTAGTCCTTCTCGTACCCTTGCTCTCATCCTCCACTTTTGGCTATGATGGTGAGAACTATCAATACTAGTAATAGCCACTTGTGCGACTCTAGGTGCTAAAGACATGTTACTTCAGGATCGTTGATGAACGGACTGCAATCTTTGGAACAATGGCAAGACTACTTCGAAAATCCCACGGGCTGCCTCTTGGGGACAATAGTCGCGGCGCAGTCTATCGGAAGTGTCGTCGCGCTTCCATTCCTGGGCAATCTCTGCGACTGGTATGGTCGCAAGGTGATCCTATTTGCTGGACTCATCATCATATGCATTGCCGCAGCTATCCAGTGTGCGTCAGTGAACTTGGCTATGTTCATAGTAGCCCGCATTCTGATTGGAGTCGGAGGGATGTTCAGCTCCCAACCAAGCCCAATGCTGATTGCGGAGTTGGCTTACCCTACACATCGTGGTAAATATACTTCGGCGTATTGGACGATGTACTACTTGGGTGCCATTCTATCATCATGGTGCACGTTTGGAACACAAGCTCTGTCCAGCAGCTGGGCATGGCGCGTCCCTTCTATCCTGCAAGCAGGGTATCCTGTCGTGCAGCTCGCCTTTCTGTACTGGGTTCCAGAATCACCTCGCTGGCTGGTAGCGCAGAACAAGATCGATGAAGCCACGAAGATTCTAAAAAGATACCATGCGGGCCAAGAGGATCCGGAAGAAGAGCCCTCGCCTCTGGTTGCAATGGAAATAGCAGAGATCACAACCGCCATCGAGCTGGAAAAGAGCTTCGAAAGCACCGGATGGTCCGCCTTAACTGCAACACCAGGTAGATTCTTCTCTCCTCCTCTAGACCTGACTATCAATACTGACATGAAAACAAAGGTAACCGCAAACGAACCACCATTGCAATCTGCGTCGGCACATTCGCACAATGGAACGGCATAGCTGTAGTCTCCTACTTCCTGACCCTAGTCCTAAACTCCGTCGGAATCACATCTTCCTACACGCAGACTTTAATCAACGGCTTCCTCCAACTCTTCAACTTCGCCGCCGCATTCATGGCCGCCTTTCTCGTCGATCGCCTTGGTCGTCGGACACTATTCCTCTGGAGCGGCATAGGCATGTTCATCTCATTCATAGTATGGACCATTTGCTCAGCCCTCAACAGCGAGACCGGCTCCAAGCCCGCAGGGTACGTCGTCATCGTTTGCGTTTTCGTCGTCTACTTCCACTATGACATCGCCTGGACGCCCTTACTCTTGGGGTACCCTACGGAGATTTTTCCTTACTCGCTTCGGTCGAAGGGTCTGGCGGTGGAAATGATGTCCGTTTACGGATCACTTATTATTGCATCGTTTTGCAATCCCATTGGAATGGAGAATCTGGGATGGAAGTATTATATTGTGTTTTGTGTCTTTCTTATGGGGATACTAGCTACTGTTTATTTCTATTTCCCGGAGACAAAGGGTCATACGCTGGAAGAGATAGCTGTCATTTTTGATGGCGAGCGATCGGGTCTGCGGCACGGTGATGATGACTGTATCGCGGATGGGAAGATGAAGATGAGCTCGACTCATGTGGAGGTTGTCTAGAATGACTTCATGTGAAAATCTCTTGAACAGGACGTGTAGAATTGGAGTCATTCTGTGAGGAGCATATTTCGTATGGACAAAGGGGCCTGATTAAGTCTTGGCACTTTGCGGGAAGATGACAGGCAGCACGGTTTCGTAACTATTCCTTCAGCTGATGGACCAAGGCGGATGATAATAAATTGAGTAAAAGAATTGAATATCATTTACAACTGCCCCCGTCGTATGACTCTGTCCACTAGGCACTGTGTGCGCAGCTTACTGCCCTATTTGGTTTTTCTTCCAGGTAGTCCAGGCTCTGGTTACCTCACCTGAATAATATATATTCGCATTAGTAGGAAACTTCTTGCTTTTATAACACGCCGTATGGACAATGAGACTTTTCTTCGTTTATTATGTTAGATAGAGAGTTAATACTTCCCAATCATGTACCTTGGCAGAGGGTGCCATGCTTGTATTGACGCTCTTCGGGCGGAGGCAGCGTTGATCACAAACTCAATAATACGAGAGGCCACGGTGGCCCACCAACGAAGTTCTGTTCTGCTTGGCAATGTTGCCTGCTAGGCGCCAATAATACCTTTAGTCAATAAATCGAATAACTTCCTCTCGGTCTCGGGATGGAAAAAGCAGAAACTAGATTTGCTGAGAGCCAAGATGAACAGTAAGCACCGCATCCAGCTATCCACGCGAACGAGGCTAACTCCACGAGAACTCTCGAAATGGATCTTCGGTGAGAGACACTACCGCATCTTGCTCCTGGGAGAGGACAGTTGTGGCAAGACAACCTTCCTCCGCCGTCTCAAATTCGGCGAAATCGGAGAGCAAGAGCCGCTACCGACGAGGGATTTGGATATTGAGACGGTGAATTACCCTGCCAGTTATGAGTGGAGTATATGGGAGTTTCGGCGTACGTCATTTCCACTGTTCTGTTTTCCATTCTTCTTTTGTGTTGCGTTTTATATCTTGGCCTGGTAGATGCTAACAACGAGAATCAGTCCAATGCGGGCCCTTGATATGGCGGGAGCTTGCGCCACATACCCTGGTTGTGTGGTTGCACGATTGCTCGACCGAGGAGTGGCCACCATGGAAACTTCATAGCTTACTCAACCAGATGGTGGAGAGAGGATGTCGGTACATCTGGGTTGGGTTGAATAAGCAAGATTCGCCGGATGTCTCGAAGGAGGTGGTTCAGGAGGCGCGACGGAAGTATGAGGAGGAATTTGCGAAGTATGAGGAGGATATTTCGTGGAAAGTACTAACGCATAAGCTGAGTTCGAAGACTGGAGTAGGGGTATTCGAAGTTCTCGAGGACATCTACCAGACCGTGAAGAAGGTGAATATAGAGCCTGCGAAGGAGGACAACCGGGATAAGAAGGGGACGGTCATAAGCGACGTAACAGATGAAGAATTGACTACTGAACAACTACAGCACCGTGTTGATAGGGAGATTACCGGCGACACATTCGACCCAGATACATTCTGGACATTCTTCCGGAAGGGAGAGTTGCCGGTGTGGACGCATTACACCTACCTGAAGGCGCTCTATTTCGTCATACTCGAGTCGGCGAAGAAGAAAAACCTTTATGAGATATCAGAGGATTTCGTAATTTACCTCAACCGACTGAGAAAAATATCTCCCCAGCTATTCAGCGACAGCGAGACACCGAGAGCCTACATTCATGCTCCATTCAGCAAATGTCTAGTCACATTCTGGACTCTACAACTGCAACACGGAATCCGGGACTATCGAGTGCACACCATGAGCGCAGATCTCCCATCCCGGGAAGAATTCCCCCAAATTCTCCGCCACTCGCCATCATTGATGAACACCTATCTCTGGAAGAATTATTACTCCTTCAATCCCGTCTCCAGACCACGGGACGTCTGGTCAATCCCAAATTTACGGCCTCTCCCAACACAAACCGATTATCTGCGCGATCCAGCAACAGTGCCTAGGAGGAACAAAGGCCCGGATAGGCTCATACGATACGCCTTCGCTGTGATACAGTATGTGCGGAATACGGGGGCGGCGTGTGAGTCAGTAGTTACACAGGCGCTGGTAGCACTCCAGCAGGCTACTATGCGTGCGAGGACAACTGATCCGACTGTTGAGACATACTCGGAGACACAAGCGCACTTCTGGATTCAGATAGTCAATGCTGCACTGCAGTCACTGGATGAAGAGAAGGGTTTAATTGATACTTCGAAGATGTCGTTCGAGGCCTTTCAGGAGACTTTCCATCTCAATCCGACACGTTGGAAGGAGTACTACTCAAGTAAAGTGTGGAATAGCGTCGCTGCGCGATCGCAGTTCGTGATGCCTGACCTCAAGCCGCTGCCGGATATCATCAGAGTTCTCCCTAACAACAAAAGTCGAAAGATATCAGAAGCAATACCGGAGCTCCCGTCCGCCGAAGAGCTTACATTCCGGGCCAAAATGGCCTGTGAGGAATTGACGCCGGCCCTGCAAAATCTTGGCCCGCCGGTCCTCAGTCACGCTCACCTTCTGTTTTACCTTTACAAACGCTTTACACAAGATACCAGGCAAACGTCGCGCGAGAAACTCGAGTCCCGAGCCAGGGAACTGTTCAGTGAGATAGCAGGCCCGATGGTAGCTGGGGCGACGCACCGAAACTTCTGGATCCAGCAGGTGGGAGTTGGAGTGTCAAATTCAGATATTGGCAGGGGCCACTCGACATTTCCGGAATTTATTACGAGCAACCTGCACCTGGTCTTCGAGGAGCTGCATAGCATTTATTACGGACCAGAAGTCTGGAACAGCGTTGATGCAGTGGAGAAGATCCTCGATCCTGACAGACGAAGGATGGAGGCGATCGTCGACACGACGGACTTGAACACGTCTGGAAGTCCAAAATAAGCTGAGAGTTCATGAAGCTACTCATTCACGACTCATGTGAGAAGGGTCGAACTCACCCATGAAGGTTGTCTGGTTGGGGGTTACATGTGCTGCTGATAGGACCCAAGAGACATGTATAATTTGGAGTATTCTTCGACTTTTGATGGCACAAGGGGTCCGAAGAATAGACGCCAGATTTAGTCATTCGTGGAATCAGGTGCTTGGCCGCTCCAGGCATTGGACCGGTTGATTTTGTCTCTGACGTCGTCTGTGCTCAGGGAAAGTTCAATGAGGCCGAAAATGCCACCAAAGATCTACATCCGATAGAATGCTTGAAGAAGCCGTTATTGCTCCGTCCGAGAAGCGAAATATGAAGTTGTTCGATTTCAAAGCGTCAAGCTATATGTCTAGAAATGATACGGACGGGTATGGTATAGCTACACTAATTGACAGACTGGATAATTTTCTATTTTCCCTTGGTCCTCGCCCCATCGCTTTCTTTTTTTAACTCCTTGTTTTTTCTCATATTAATCTTGTTGAGGTGATGTTTAGGTAGAGGATAACAACTGAGACTCGTGATTTGCATTGCAATACTTAGTCCAAAGCACCCACATAGCTACAATCGTTCCAAGCTAGACTTAGCTTTGCATACAAGATCAAAATGCACATTCCACAGTCAATTCTTTCCAGCTGAAACCTGCGCATACAAAGCGTGTTGCGAAGTCTGTGACCTATGCCGCCCTCTCGGCCACTTTGTAGATACCGACCCGGTTATAAACATCCTTATACTTCTGTCTCACATAATCATCCACAGAAATGGGAGCATACTTCTCATCCTCCGGCTTAGTACGGCACGATTCAATGCAACGAATAACAAAGTCCGGGTTGCCGTTATAGTTAAAGGGAATGGAGTACCGATCCGTGCCGGAGTGGTTGATCACGCGATGAACGTTTGAAATGTAGACGTCGTTAGACCAGCGCTCAAACAGATTGCCTAGGTTGACAACATAGGCACCCTCAACAGGCGGAGCCGGATAGTACTCCTGTGCTTCCTCATCCCACACCTCCAGACCTGGAACATCACCCTGAAGCAACAAAGTGATGACACCAAAGTCTCGATGAGCGCCAATTCCGCGCTGCAGTGGATGCGAGTCCTCGGCTTGAGGGGGGTAGTGCAATAGCTTATAGAAGGCCATGGGGTCGGTACAGAACTCGTCGAAGTAATGTTGGTCGTACCCCAGAGACATGGCAATGGCTTGCATCACCTGCTCGGTCAGGGCTGTGATGCGGTTCAGATAGTCCATGCAGGTGTCGCGGAAATGCGGACCCATGGACTCAGGCCAGAGGTTAGGGCCATGGGCAAACTTGTGGGACAGCACCTGCGGATGATCCATGGGAAGGTCCTGGGCCACATAGAAGCCTTCTTTAAGGTCCGGCTTTGTGTGGTTCTCGATCATCTGGCCATACATAACCTCGTAGCCTCGGTTGTGCTGGTTCTGGGCTGTAGGATATTGTTAGAAGGTAAACGATCACATGACATTATGACTGCTTACATTTGTCGAGCTTCATCTTCTCCTCGAGAGGAAGCGCGAAGAACTCTTTGGAGAGCCTCATCATCTCCTTTTGGAGGCTGGCGGGGATGGGATGGTTAATGATTTGAAAGAACCCCTGTGTACGACATGCTTCTCCAATGGCCTGGGCACATTTCTGCATCCGATCTGGCTCGCCGGACAGAAAGTCACCAAAGTCAACAACTGGGGGAGCCTTGTTGGAGGGCATAGTGAATAGAAGGTGCAATTTGATTTCAAATCTTGTGTTCTTCCAATGCGTGCAGATTGTTCTTGCAGAGAGGGCTTCGGGGGAATTACAGTCAAGGCTTTTATACTTGATTGTAGCACACTTGGACTCACTACGTTGAGATTTGTGATCTAGTGCATATCGTACTTTTTGACCTCTTCTTTCCTATGCGGCAGTTTCTTTCCTTCCCCATGATACAAATCCTGCTGCTGGCTCATGTCGAGACACACTACGGAGTAGTCCGAGTGGCTTAGAAGATGCCTGTCCTGCACGTACAGGGATAGTTCGGACATTGTTGACTTCGACTGCAGTCATTTTCCGATATTATTTGTGGTTCGGAAGGAGCAGTTGCGTAATGGTTGGAAGTAATCTGGTGCATTACGTGCACACACACGCCAGATCTATGGTGGCAATGCATTGGTCTGCCTACTATACACGAGGTAACCTTCCAAAGTGATCTATGAGTGGCCTGCTCTAATGACGATCGTAAACCTTGATCTAAAAGTCCTATGCTCCATCACCCATCATCATTCGATGGTACTTGCTCTTCATCCGAATTCGAGGCCCAAACCGATAAAATACCCACGGGAGAGGAGCGAAGGCTAGCGCAAAGAAACCCAGCAGGCTAGACCCCCATGGCACGCCAAGTCCATCGTACAGATATGTTCCAAAGAGGGGGAAGACAGCTCCGAATATGGAGCGGAAAACTGCATTGGCTGCAAGGGCACTCGCGCCATACGGACCGTAGCAGTCTGTGAGGTAAGACGTGATGCTGAGAAAAAGCAATATCAGGCTGAATCCAAATGGAGCCCCGGAAATGATTCCTACAATCCAATGCTTCGGAGGCAGGGCGGTCCAACCAAACCAGAAAAGGCTGACAGGGATCAACCAAGACAGGATGATGAGGTGGGGTAATCTGGCTTCTGGGACAGGACCAAGTTTGGTTACGTATTTCCCATGGATAGTGTTTACATAGGGAGAGGCTATGGTCGCAATGGCCATGCCCGTACCCATTCCGAGAAAGGACAGGCCCGCGATACCTGAAGACCAGCCGCGGGACTGTTTGTATACAATCGGATACGCCGTGAAGTCGAGATAGAGGATGCCGTAAATGAAGGCCATGTAGAGAGAGAGGAGGAATAAGATCGGTTCCGCGAAGAGCATTAGCCAGGGACGGATGAGGCAGGTCCGTAGCTGCTCTTGGAGAGAAGGACCAGTCTGGACAATTCCCTGACGTCGAGCCTTATCCCGCAGAAGCTTGGGGGCGTATGTCTCAGGAAGGAAGAGCACGCATGTCACGTAGATAACCCCGCTCAGGATAAGCACCAGCCAAAAGTTCCATCTCCAAGAGAGGTATTCCGAGACAAACCCGCCGGCTACAGGGGCAAAGACAGGCCCTAGGAAGCTACCAGCGGAAAACAGAGCCAACGGGACTGATCGTTCACTCTGCGGCCAAAGGTCCGTGATAGACCCGCCAGAGTTTGTGACCGTCGGAGAACCGAAAAAGCCGGCCAAGAATCGAAAGATGATCAGCGCAGCTATGTTTGGGGCTAATGCACAACCAATCTGAAAGAGCACGAACAATCCCAATGTCAGCCGGAAGATGGGGTTGCGTCCGCTAAAGCAGTTCCTTGGCGCGTAAGCAAGCAGCGACGACGGGTAGGAGGATCAGGATTCTCAAATAGACTGACTAGACTTCTGACAAGGGTGCAAAGATGAGGGGCCCCGAGGCGAACCCCAGGAGAAAGGTCGTCACTCCGAGAGTAGCTACCGTCTGCGAACATCCAAAGGTGGCAGTAATGAGGCTGGTTCCTGCGGTATAGATACTCGAACAAAACGCAATGGCTCCCGTCATCAGCGCCACAATTGTCGTATAGAGCCCTGAGTCACGAAACCATGATCGTCAGTCAGCCCGTCTCACTCCATCCTTACCCCTCAGACCGGTCTTGCTTACATTTTCTGCTTTTCGGCCATCTCTTGGGATCTTCCTTCTCATCGAGCGCGATCGAAGGGCTGTCTGGCGAATCATGCGCGCACAGACCATGTTCCCCGGCCGCATTCGGACGACCCATTTCAGGTCCACTCGGGGCTGAGAAAAGTTGCTTGCTAGGGGTTTGAGGCAAGGGAAGCTCAACGCTAAATGAAAGCGACCAAGGAATTACCGGCATTTACGGGCTACCTAAGGCCGTGGCGGCCTTTTTAAGCACTTTGTACCCTACTAAAGGGGGAGTGGTGCCGCATGGGGCAACCGGTGTGGCCAACTCCTTCGGGGTTTGATCTGAGACTAGTTCTGATAACACCATCGCCAATGTAACCTTACTGGACCAATTGTATGACATGTAAAGGGGTAGATGAGCCTCGAACCAAGGCGCAATCCCAGGCAGGTACCCCGGTCCAAGCTGACGTGGCCCTATCTGGTAGTAAGGCGGGAAGGGAAGCTTATCGATTCCCCAGCAACTAGTGGCGGACCGCCGCCCGCGCGCCGTTTGGGGGAGGGACCACTGTCGAGTTCGATCTCCCCGGGGAAACCCTAGATGCATCGGAGATGCAAGGCATCCCAAAAGTACTGTGCTTCTTGAAGAATAAATTTCTTCAATTGCGTTGCATGCGTGCCGTACGGAAAACATCCGTCACCTGCACATCCATGTAGATGTTGGCCGCTCACGAGGGCCCAAGCGCAGTACTTTATCTTCAGTCATGTAATCGCTACTCTATATTTTCAACGGTTCCATTGAACCATAGTATGGCTTGGTTGCAGACATGGTCACTCTATCATTAGCTATCCTCAATTCTTTCATTCCTCATCTGCTACGCACCACTCAATGGTCATAATGGACATTGGCATTGTTGGCTCCGGCATCGCTGGCTTGTACTTGGCCCTCTACCTCCAACGCAATGGTCATCGGGTCACTATCTTCGAGGCCGAGGACCGCATTGGAGGTAGAATATTTACGCACTGGTTCGACGAAAACGTGTATTTTGAAGCAGGGGCTATGCGAATCCCTCGATCGAAATTGCACTCCCGTGTCTATCGTTTCATTCGTTATCTCAACGTGAACGGGAGACAGGACGACAAAGTAGAGCTCATCCCTTACATACAGGAGCACAGCAACAATGTGGCATTTATTCACAATGCCAGGTGCAATCTTGACAATCCCCAGCTTTCCGCCCGGCTTAACATACCCTTGCCGCCCAGGTACCAGGGTAAACCCGCGAGCGAGCTTTTGGGGGAAGTGATCAGCCCTTGGCTGGCTCTGCTACAGAAGGATTTCGATTTTGGGTTCTCGCAGATATCGCAGTATGACGTTATCTCGTTTCGGGCCTATCTCCATCTAGTCGCTGGATGGCCACATGAAGTGATCGATTTCGTGGAGTTGATGACCAGTCAGACAAACCAGTTTGATCTCAGCTTCATCGAAATCATCATGCAGAATCTGGATTTCAATACGCAAAATTGGGCCACTGTCCAGGGGGGGATGTCGCGTCTTGTTCAAAGTGCCGTCCGGCTTGTCGGTCTCGAGAATATACACACCAATGCAAGAGTGCACCAAATCGTTGAGCGCCAAGATGGCAAGGTTACCTTGCGAACAACAGGGCCACATGGCGGCACCTTTGACAAGGTGATCCTTGCAATCCCACCGGCAGCACTTCACCGAATCCACGACCGTCCAACATGGTCCTTCATGAAGGAGCAAGCGATTCGTAGCATGCATTTCGAGCCGCTCTACAAACTAGGGATACACTTCCGCACGAGGTTTTGGGAAAAGACCCCGTCACCTTGTTTTGGTGGCCAGAGCGCGACGGATCTCCGATTTCGATGGATTGTCTATCCATCGAACGACCTCGGAAGTCCCTCAGCTGGCGTGCTCCTTCTCTACTGCTGGATGAATGATGCGTATCGCATGCAGTCCATTCCCCGTGACCAACGCATCAGTCTCGCTCTTCATGACCTCCAGCGGTTTTATGATACTGTGGATGTCTTCGACCAGTACGTCGATGCTTTCGATGTGTGTTGGAGCCAGGAGTATGCTACTGGAGATGCTATGTTTCTCCCAGGCCAATTCACACGGTTCCACCAGGTCGCCAAGCAACCGGAGGGTAACATTCATTTTGCAGGGGAGCATCTGAGTCGGCACCATACGTGGATTGCGGGCGCAATTGATTCTGCATTACAAGTGGTCATGCAAATACAGGGTGAAAAAGACGTGCGAGGTCTTGGAGAAGAGTATATCAAATCGACCCCGAAAAGACTCGATGAGCCATGGCGGGCATATGTGATTCCGCATCACAACAACCTCGAGTATGTTGCGGAACGCTGACGAGTACTTCGCAGCACATTCCGGGCAGCAAGAGCCAATTTTTCTTACCGCATACCAGGTTCAGCTGGCCATATCAACGGTGTCTCTGATCATCAGGAAATTTGTCTTGTACTTAGATTAGAAAGGCAGGGGATTTTTCCTTCCTTCAATATACTTCCCTTCCCGATTATGATGCTAATTTACCGCTCCACTTTCTCCCCTGCTATTCATTTCTTCATCGTCGCTAAATCCAGCTGCGTATCCCTGAGGAAGTTTCACGCTCTGAGTGGTTTTGAAATAATATCTCTGGAAATACTGGACCTTAGATCGTCGTTTAGTTGAAGCTTGAAGCTTGAAGCTCCCGGTTCACGCCCAAATATAGAGCCCTAGCGCATCCTGGATTGCCGCGGTTTGACGCTTATCCACCAGCTGGCATTATATAAAGCACCCCATGCAATGGACAAGATGCCAAGAGCCTCAAGCTTCAACAGGTGTTGAGTGAAGCGCTTCGATATATCTATGCATCATGATGATGGTAACATCAGTGTCCACCTTGCAGTTTCCAATCGAGGCAGATATTCGTCTTTATTTCTGAACCAACACCCGATAATAAACGAATACAGTCTTCCCTCATCAGGATGAGTAACTCAATAGACAACAAGCTGATTGAGATACTTGGAAAATCCCGATGCCTCGAAGCTGACTCCGGATCTTGCCTGCGCATGATCTGGAGCATTCCCAGTTGGATCACCAGGAATGGAAGATGCGCCGAGACCTACGAAGGTGGCTTACTACTACTAATCAAGTGAATTGACATCACCAATTGTGTGAGGGTGGTCGTCGACACGTGATACAACCAAGTGAATTGAATGACTGATGGTCGATAAACCTTCATGCTGCTGACTGGGGACACTCCACCGTTTTACCCCACAGACCAGGAGAAATCTCCCTCTCGTGCTCACCACATTCCAAGAATATTCTTACTCAGAGAAGGTAGCTTCATATAGCTCACTTTAAAAGATGCAGAGACGACACCACAAGAAGAGAAAGCCCAAGTCTCGCCAGGTGACCACAAGCCTCTCAAATGGGCCGGTGGGAGTTTCCTAGCACTCCTGCGAGCGGCCTTCCCCTATGCAACCTGCTAGCAGTGTAACTGACCGGTTCAATCAGAGTACTCCAGAGAGCTTCCACGCCGAGGAAAAGCACAGTGATTGTCGCAGCTCTCCATCTAGTCGCGAAACAGATGTTTCCTCTAGCTCATCTGTCTCGATCTCGCCTCAGGCAGTCTCCGCCCCGAATCGCCGATTCCTCCCGGACGAACTATACCCAGATCACTTCACTTTGAGCGACATCGAGGTTCCAGTAGGCGACCTGGTCTTTCTCGCATGCCCAGGCTCGGAAAAAAAGTGCCCCCATTGTAACCGCCATATCTATCATCTTGGCTGTATCGTGATTGCAATTGACGGTGCGTGTCGCGATAATGGTAAAGACGGAGCCCGGGCGTCAACTGGGGGTTATTACGGCCATGACCATCCATTTAATGACAGTGTCACTCTTTCGCCAGAACTCAAACAGACAAGCCAGGTTGCCGAGCTCGCAGCCTGTCAGAGAGCTCTGCATGCTGCGCACGTCATGCAAGAGTATTGGGACAAATTTAGCGAAATCTCAGGAAATGAAGAAGGAAGTCTTCACACCGTGGTGATCAAGTCAGACTCGGAGTATTTGGTACGCGGAATGACCGAATGGATCTTGAAATGGAAGACCAATGGTTGGACTACTGCAAAGGGCTTGCCTGTTGCCAATCAAGAGCAGTTTCGTTTAATTGAGAAGTATGTGAAGGTTCTCGAGGATGAGCAGGTCATTGTCCAGTTCTGGCATGTTCCGAGAGAATACAACCAGGAGGCGGATAAGCTGGCAACATCTGCTCTCGATGGTTGTTGAATGATTACACTCGTATTTGAAAGGGCTTCAATTATTATAATGTATGGGTTGATTCTGTGTGCTTACTAGTTATTCTCGCAGCTTGTGCTGTCGTGGCAGCTGACCAAATTGTCTTTCAATTGCCTTATCGAACACTATGCAGAAAGCGTAACCAAGCTGTGTCAAGTACCAAACGTTCATAGGTATTATGGAATCTTATCTCTAATTTCTTACAACTAAAATATGGGTGTCAGTAATAGCTCGATGGAAAGAAATACATGGAAAAGGTTTACTCTCCTTATGTGTAGAATGTCAGGAATGATATCTTTGCAAAGATCCGAGTAGCAAATGTGATTGCTCATATGGCTAACAGCTTCTTATCTTCATCTGCGCTGGGATAAGATGAGCCAAAAAGCACACTTTCCTCTTCCAAAAACATTGCTCAGCTTGGATTGATAAATAAAGGATCTCACCCTCGACCTGACGATGTGGATAGCATCAAATTTTCGAATGAAAGAGAAGCTTATGTCTCTGTCTCTGTAAAGCTGTGACATCCTTTCCTGCGCTCCCGCAGATGTAGACGGAGATATAAATGTTAACTACCGACCATCTATCGTCAGCTAATGGATATTATCGACCCCTGTTGAACGGTATGATATCGTTGGATGTCCGGCAGACAGTCATGGACCGTACGACACGCGAATAATTGGGCGTTATCAACGCCATATACTGGTTAGGAACGTTTGTTCATTCCCTCATCGCAGCCTGGACATCCAATCAATATGATGGTAATATGGGGATTTGTGTTGAATATTTCGTTCACGTCGCCACTACTCTTCATTCCACTATACCGAATGACATTTTCCTCATTATCCCTCGCTTTATCGTCGGTGCGAGCAGCTGCAGCCCCGTTGTTGTTGTTGTTGTTGTTGTTGTTGTTGTTGTTGTTGTTGTTGTTGAATGAGACCTTCCCTTTTGAAACAGCCTCACCACTGAAGTTAGAATACTCTTCACCAGAAGAATCCTTAGGTATATTCGACCATGTTCAAGGCATCGTGTATCTGAACTGGACATACGCATAAGACAAACCAGCAAGTGCTGCAAAACACAACTCTTATAGGTAGGAATACTCGCACTTTGACGATATAAACGACGATCCTCTCTTCTGTTCTGTTTCTAGAAGTACAAATGTTCACTTAGGGCAACAAGTCAGACTAGCAATTATTGACCCAGGAAGGCCTTTTATTGCCAAGAGGGATAGGCACTCATAGCGTTGACAACTAGCGGGGTCGAATCCACACATAATATCCAGGAAATAAATTGAGATTATATCCGCCCGGGCCAAGGAAGGAAAGAAACACGGGTACGAGATATATCGTAGGTACAAGCAGATAAATCGCAAATCGCTACCTAATGCATGCATACTACTCACCCCTTCTTGATTTGTCCCAAACTAATCAACCGTTGCATATGCACCCCACAATATTTTTCCCGGGATAACCTCGGCCCCTGCTGTATTGTCCGCGACGGACTGGCAAAATACACTTTTGCGACTCCATCGGCATCTTGGCAAGCATCATTTCCATGCGTGCTGTGCCGAACGTGACCAGATGAAAGACGATAGCAAAAGATAGCACGCAATCCCAACTACCAAGACACTATCCGGGTAGGATTCCCTTGTCTAGTAAAGTCTCCACTGTCCAAGTCGGTGCCTAGACGCTAAATCCGATTTGGGGGTTAGCACTAAGCGGGACCTGAGCACGCTGCATACTTTGGAGAGCTGCATAACATGGGATAATTCTGGGCTTGGCAGTTGCTGTTTACACGACAATGTGAGCACTTTCTCACCGAGTCTGGCCGAGTCGGAACTATTACAGAAGTCAGAAGTGAGAAAGCTATTGGTTCTCAATGTAATACCCGGATGATGATATCGAAAGCTTGACAATGCTCTTAGCGGGCCAATCAATACTTATGGTCATGCGCAGGATCAGCGAAGCTCACGACAGAGAACTGTTCGAAGGATCATTGCATTTCGATAGCCCGATGCCGTCAAGCCTGCCATGGGCATACCACATAGAATCAAGTGAGTATGGATTTGAAGCCGGCTCAGAAGACGAAGCACCTGACTAACGCCGGTCTCCATTAATGAAGCATCCCGGGAGACACTATGATAGCAATCGACCAATACCTCTACAATAGTGAACTTTCAGTGGCCTCCAGAATGGCCAGGATTGATGCCGGAGCATCCCGGATCGCTCAGGGCGCGCAACTCTGTCCCCCACGCTCGGCCCGCTCTAAGAGCATAAGCGCCAAGCCCAGCCGACAACGGACAGACAAATTCCGCGGTCTCCGTATAATAATTTGAGCATCCTCAGTAGCCTACAATAGTGTACTGGAATCCCCAGAGACAGATCGCAAACAAAACCAGATCAGGCAGTGCGCATTTCACCGGTCGAACCACCCTCGGATTCTCGGGTTCGGGGCAGGTTACCAGATTGATGCTAGATCCAATTTGGTCTGACGTTGCAGTTGAGACATCATAGTTATAGCACAGTGCGATTGTTGCGAAAGCCAAAATAAGCTCAAGGGCAATGAGACGACGCAGTGCACGCGAAATGCTCTTTGACTTCGTGCGATGGCGTCATCTTGGAATTGCAAGTAGTCTGGCTAGTTGTGCTTGATTCCGGATATACCGGTTTAATATTACTTCTGCCTAACGAGCCCCTGATGCTGATTCGTTAGCTCTTAAACAAACTGTTGATGCTGGGTCAGGTGTCTGTATGGCATCAATGCCGAAGCGGAATTGACTGTTTTGCGCTTGGGGCTCGTCTTTGGCTTTGTCCCCGCCTGTACTCCATGTCTGCTCCCGCTAGCCTGTGAGCGGTGTCTTGTTGTTGAGCACTTGATCAATATCATTCGCCAGTGTGCCTGTTGCTAACTGGGGGCCATGATAAACGAAGGATCAAATCGCGTGTGTACCACGTTATAGTTTCCAAGTCAAGAAAGTATTTCTCCGGACTTTTGGAGAAGCCACAAACATCATCACGCTCAGTTCTCCGACTGTTAGCTCACTCCGCTTCCACTAGGAATGGACGTCCTTCCAGAAGGATCGGCTGATAATGAATGGCTTCCAGGCTTCACCAGCGTCAATTTCGAGTGCTCTGCGTTCATTGGCGATAAAGTGCTGACCCTATCTGACCGGGGAAAAGCCGTCTTGCCGAGGCTTCATCACGCGTGCTGCCCCACTGTAAGTCTAGGGACCAATCATTAATATGTGTAGACAAGCGGGTAGGCCGAATCGGTTTCACGCGCAGGGCAAGGAGTTGTCTCAATCAATAGTCCGCCAGTGATCTCCCAGCACTCTCCCGTTTCACCTGAGGTCGTAGTGCACGTCCTAAAAGAGAGCCAAGCATCGAGTGTCACGCATGGAATAATGTATGCATTCTGTAATCGCGCGGTGGTCATTGACATTGACCCTGGCCAACTGGGCGCTAACCAATCCGCCTTGGAAAAAGGTAAACTTCAGGAATAGTGCGGTAGATGACGAAGCGAGCGGGTCCGAGTGGCTGTCAGCGGCAGCACTTATCGCTCGTCACTCTCCAGTCGTCACAACTCGGGCAGGCCATTCGCAGGATATCGTCCGCCACAGATCAGATAATTCCCCCGGATAAAGACACTTTGGGTTTCCCTGCTTTTTCCAATCGTTACAGCCGAAGCGTTGTCTTGGCCTCACGCGGGCAACCTCCGTACCAAGTCCAAACACCGTGGCCAATTGTATTTTCGGAGATAGATTCATCTTGCGCTGTTATGCCAAGGACAACAGATTGAAAGTATCTCGCAGCGCTGGGGCTGGTACCGCCACTTAGTGGGGAAAAATTAATTGCCAGCGACCGTCCCAAAATCCCCAATGGCGCGAAGGGGAGGATTTCACGGATAGGATAAGTGATAACCTCGATAGTGGAGCCAGCTTCAGGTCCGGATCCACGGTGGCTTTCTTGGCGGTGCTGGAGACTGCTGGGTAGAAGCCAATCACGACCAACTGTGACTCGTTCGCGTCGTCGTTGGTCTCCGCCGCGAATGGATATCGGCTTCGATGGATCGCTTCGACGCCGCGTGGATGGGGCGCTTTGGTATCCGTTTCGGGTGTTGAAGCTGTTGGAGCCACCCTCTCCTGAACGACCGACCCGACCGTATGCGACATTCTTATTCTCGCTGAGATTCCACTTGCCTGGAGGCAAAATTCGATGATATGATGAGTGCCGACTCTGCGCCTTGCCGTCGCTCCCGAGAAGACTATCGTCCCCGATAGTTCCTTTTGTTCCGCCTTACCCCAGATCCGAAAGTTTGTCTCCTTTCCTCCCTTCCTTGGACAGCTCTCGTCGCTCTGTCCGTCCGCGATGATCCAATGTCCTCGTGGACTTCCGCCCTCTCTCGCGCCAATCGCCTACGTTCAAGGCTCTCAGCGCTCCATGTCGTTACGATTGGCGCCATCATCAGTCTTTCCTATCTCTTCTACACCTTCGCCGTTCCCCAATTGAATCGACTGAGGCTTCGCGCGGATCTGAGTTGGTACGACCTGGGATTATACGGTTTTGGTCCCTCGAAAAGCTATGTCTCCTTCGAATACGAATCTCCCGCGGTACAGATCTCAGAATGGGAGTCGGGCTGCGACTCGCGATATACTTTTCTAGCCCCTAGGGGTGACTCGGTGGCCCAGCCGGGGCCTATGATCCTTGATTCCAGGGGGGAGCTGGTGTGGATGAAATACAACTGGGACGTAACTCAGGACTTCAAGGTTCAGCGATATCAGGACACAGACTATCTGACATACTGGGAAGGTGGTGAGACCGAAGGCCGAGGCTATGGGGCCTGGTATATGGTAGGTGTCACACGACCCTGTCGCATAGAGTAGCGTGCTGATCTGGACAGCTGGATTCGACATATACCCAACGATATGTGATTTCTCCGGTAGGAAATTATGGTGGCGATCTCCATGAATTCCACATCACCCCGGAAGGGACGGCTCTCGTTACGATATACGATCCAGTACCAGCCGACCTGACTCCTGTTGGTGGCCCCGAATTAGGGTGGATATATGACGGCGTCTTCCAGGAAATAAATATCGCTACGGGCGAGCTGATCTTCGAATGGCGCGCATCGAAGCATTATCCCATAAACACCACATACGAGCATTTGGGCAAGTCGGGAAGAGTGCGCGGGTATGCGTTTGACTTCTACCACATCAATAGTGTGGACAAGGATGACAATGGGAATTACATCGTCTCCGCACGCCATACCCATACCGTGAGCTGCATAGACAAGGACACTGGTGAAGTATTATGGACCTTGGGCGGCAAGCTGAATGAGTTCAACGATCTTTCAGATGGTCAGGCCACCAACTTCGCCTGGCAGCATGATGCACGGTGGCACGCTAACAGTACCTTGACCCTTTTCGACAATGCATCACATTCGAACGATGATCCGGATAACCAAAGTCGTGGTGTCGTCATCGAACTTGACGTTGCCGGTCGCCAAGCGTCATTGCGCGCTGAGTACTTTCATCCTCAGCAAATGCGGTCCTTGTCGCAGGGAAACGTCCAAGTTCTGGACGACAGTGGCCGAGTTCTAGTCGAGTGGGGCCATAGCGCTGCATTCAGTGAGTTCAGTGCCGACGGACAGTTGCTATGCAACACCCATTTCGGTGCCTCTGCCTTCTTCGGGTTTGGCAGAGTAGTATCTTACCGTGCCTATAAAGGCACCTGGGTTGGCCGACCGCAGACGGTCCCCGATGCCGAAGTACTAGGAAACCACGTGTATGTGAGCTGGAATGGCGCAACAGAGGTTGCTGCGTGGCGACTAGAAGTTTGGGACTCGGATGATTTGAATGACAATACGTTCCGTGTTGTGTCCCAATTCCAGAAAGATGGCTTCGAGACTGAGATCGAAATACCCGAAGGTCTCAAGCTTCCTTTGTTTCGCCTAGCGGCATTAGATTCCAATGGCAATGTTCTGGGCGCCACGGAGCTGCTCCAGCGAGAGCAGGGTGAAAGCTTTGAGCAAGTCATGAACCCTCAGTACTGGTTTATTGTCATGGCCTTTGTCATCAGTGGAGTCGGCTTGTTTGTTGGACTTTATACGTGCTGCGGCTGGGGCCGTTATTTCCGTCGGTGTCGCTCACGGTCCAGCGAGTACCAATTGGTTGCCTTCAGCGACAGCGATGGTTCTGTTTGATGTGCGGATCGGACGTGACAAGCCGCTCCGTTTGTATATATCTGTCTCAACCTGTATATATGATACCCTCATTCCAAAATGTCATTGGGAGCATTACTGGCTTATTGCAAAGGTTCACGTGTTGATCGACGGATGTAGGGCAGAAGATCAGCTGAAGAGGACATGGAGTCAGTCAAATATATGCCTACGACGGTGAAGTGGATAAAGCAGTGTCTAGGACACACACAGCATGGGATCGTCATCAGTGTCGACCGTCCAGAGCGTGGACTGCTGGTGCTTTGAGAGCGATGCATTTGCATGGCAAAACATTGGCCGTAAAGATATCAAGACTTGGATGGAAAATGCTACATTGAGATGAGAATGGAGAAAGATGCAGAAGAGCAAAGGTAGTCACGACCTATGCAGACGAGAGTATAGATGCACCTGGCTATCCCAATCCGGCAACCACCAGAAGCAGCTGACTCAGCCTCCCCGGCAGGCACTCAGGCACCAAGGCATCCAGGCCGCCAACCCCGGTTATCCACGGGGATCGGGGCGCATTCCCCGCATGAAGCAAGATGCCTTCATTGATAAACCAAGGGGGGGGGGGGAGGTCTTTCCCGTACCTCCCTCGTTCTCCAGACGTTTTCATTCTACTATCTGAACCTCTAAACATCCCGCCAGTCCTCCACGATGCCTTCACTCCGTCTCCCCAAAATACCAATACCCCGACCCTCCTACCGGGGATACTCCACCTCCGCACCATCCCCTTCTTCACGACTGAACCTCCCCATCGACTACAGATCGACACCGCTCCTCCACCACACGGCCTCCAGCCTTTCAAACCACCCAGACCTACCCAG